ATGGAAACCTTTGTTTGGAGCAAACCTCTGGTTGTATGTGGGAAAACCTCTCGTCTGGGAAAGCCTCACACGTGTTGGATCATCATTCTTGGCCAGGGTCGCTACAGGTAAACACACTTCATGTTTTTTAAACCTTCTTCCATGTTTTTTTCAGTAGGTGGTGATATTCTTATGTGTTTACAAGGGTATATAGTTACAGGACAAGGGGGAAGGGCTTCAAATGGAAAGAGGGGAAATTTAGGTGAGCTGTTGGGAAGGAATTGTTGGCTGTGAGGGTGGGGAGGCCCTGGCACAGGTTGCCCAGAGAAGCTGTGGCTGCCCCTGCATCCCTGGAAGTGTCCAAGGCCAGGTTGGAGCAACCTGGGATAGTGGGAGGCGTCCCTGCCTGTGGCAGGGGGTGGGACTGGATGAGCTTTAAAAATCCCAACCCAAACCATTCTATGATGTAAGAAACAGGCTTCAAGATCACAGAAAGCTCTGCCCAGAGCACAGATCCTGTCAGCAACTGAAGTGGAAAAATCAGCTGAACTTGTTAAGTTGGATAACTCTGCCTGGTGTTTGTTACAACTCAGTGAGAGTGTGGAGAAGTGACTCAGATGTTTTTATGGCTCTGGTTTTCCCAGCCTTTTTCCAAACGTGGCATCACAGAGCACTCAGGGTTTGGATTTGGAAAGCCAACTACTTTCAGAGAAAGGTTGAAAAATCCCACCTATTTAAAAGGAGGACAGGGACATCCAAAGAGTTTTGGCAGAATGAGCCTGGGTTTTGCTCTCAGTAGCCATGAGGCGAGGAGGGAGCTCTCCCAGGAACCCAGTGATTTCCTGGTGCAGCCTGAACACGAATTACCAGCCAAAGGAATGCAGAACTGAAAGGGAACACGATTTATCCACCCCTGAAATAACCGATCTGGCAAGAAAGGGTTTTTGGCTCAAAGCCCCAGAGCACAGGGAAGTGAGTTGGAGTTTTTCCAGTGATTTTTCGTGGGCTCCTCTAAACCTTTTGCTGCCCTTCAGCCTCCTTTCTGTGGCTCTTCCCAATCAGTGGCAAACACGACCCGTGGTTGCTGACTTTGCTCTTCAGCCCAGGGCTGGCTCCTCACGTGGGGCTCTCTGCTGGAGGGCTTGGGCTTCCAACTTCTTTTAGGAGTTTGGCTTTGGAGACGTTAGGGACCTTTCTGGGTGTGAGGCCCTCCAGCCTGAGGGAGTGGAAGGCTGAGGGGAATCGATAACAACCAATCTCCCCTTCTTTTCCCCCTCTGTCTCTTCCTTCCCCCCTTGTCCCAGAGCTCTCCCAGTGGGCTGTGAGTCCCAAGGGGACTGGAAGGACCATCTGTTTCCGAGCTGCCACGGTCAGCTGGACGGGGATGAAGTGGGGCCCACTCTCAGCCCTGGCATTTGACTCCTCCACAGGAAACTTCTGTGGGTGCCCACGTTGGACAGGACCCAGCTTTGCCCACGCTGGCTGATGGTTGGAGTGTTTGCTGGGAGCTGATCTGCGCAGGAATGGAGCCCTAATCCCCCCAGCACTGGCATTTCCTCAGCCCCACTCCCAGTTCAAAGCAGGGCTTCTCCCTTCCCAGTTCCTTTGGAAACTCTCCCTTTCCTCTGGGTGCCAGAGATGATGCTGGAGGGGGTGGCTTTGCCTTAGAGGAGCTCCTGCAGTTTTATCCCGAGGCTGGGAGATGTAGGTGGATCTTAGGAATTGGGCAGTATTTCAGTGACCTTTGGGAATACATGTGGTGGTAAAGGAGCCAATTTAATGTGCTTCCACATGCTGGACCCCAAATCTTTGCCCATCCCAGACAGGGTTTGGGACATACTTCTGATATACCCAGCTTAATTATGTTATTATAATGAATATTAATAATAAAGATATCAATTTTATGTATCATATCACTACACAAAGCATCAATTTTACTTATATACTATATCTGTATGGAATATATAAGTTATATATTATTATATAATATATAATAATATATAGTTATATTATTATAATTATTTATATATAAATATTGATCTTTTACTCTTAATATACAATACAGTAATATATAATATGAAAAATTTAATTTATATGTTTGGGCTTGATGATCTTAAGAGGTCTTTTCCAACCTCTGTAACTCTGTGATTAGTGATTCCATGAAAATATTTAAAGCTCAGGAAGAGGGGCACATGTAAATGCAGTGAGAACCCACTTCAGATCAATGGAATCTCACTCTGGGCAATCTTGATTTTTTAAGATCTTAAATGTCCCTTCTGTGTTCTAAAGTCTCTTTAGATGCTGGTGCTGATCTGCTTTATGGGAAGGCAGTGGGTGATGTGGTGATTTAAAGGCTTGATCCCTAAATGGGGAAGTCTCTTCTGTCCTCTGTGATAGAAATTTCAGGGCTGTTTTAAACAACTGAACATTAAATCTTGCAGCAGGAGAACAGGTAAAATGTGTGAGCTAACCTGACAGTGGAATCAAACATTAGCTCTGCTGTGGCAAATTCCTTTAATTTGTGGGGTTTTCTCCATCATCCCTTACTTTGGAGTTGGTTTTGCTCCCACCTGGCATGGGGTGGGGATTGGGAATGTGCAAAAGGGATGGAGAAATGTGTATGAAATACTGATTTATTTTTCTATCTTTTCTCTCGCTCTTTTTTTTTTTTAATTAAGGATTCTGTGATTTTAACAAAAATTAAAAAATCTGACAGACTGCAGCTTGGTAAAATGTCTCTCTCCATTCGTTTCCTCTGGGAGCTCTTCTGATGATGTCTGCAGATACCCTTGGAATAAGAAATCTCCCAGAGCTAAAATGTGGCTGCTTTTCCAAGCCCCTTCCAGACATCCTCGTGGTTGTGCCTCAAGTTTCTGTAGGTGAAGTGGCACTTTTGCCCCCACCTACATTTGGCTGTTGGTGGGATTGATCAGGCTGACTGATTTTAAGGCTTTATTTTTGGCAGGAGCTCGAAGCTGTTGCAGGTTTCCAAAGTCCCCGTGGGACCTTGCAGAAGTGGAGCTGGGAAAACTCTTATGATGAGAGACTGTTGGAGGGAGGTTGGACAGGACCCAGCTGAAATCCAGAATATTGAGCACGTAGTTCAGACTGAGGGAGGTTCAGATTCCGGTTCAGTTTGTGCTGAGTCATGGAATGGTTGGAAGGGACCTCAAAAATCAAGGTGTTCCATGTTCTTCTGAAAGCCCACCCAGAACTGGGCTTGAACCCCCACTGAAGGATGCCCATGGAAGAATTTTGACTGGGTTTTCACAAAATCTGTGTTTTATCTGGCAAGTGCACCCTCAAGGACAGAGCAAAAATAGCTTCTGGAGAGCTTGGCACAAGCTGTGCTGCTTGCATGTAAATAAGGGAGGGAAAAAAAAAATATATATATACGGGGGGAAAAAAAGCTCAAACATGCTGTGAAATGTTTCCCTTGGCTTGTTTATCAAATCAACATCATTCAGTGTGTGAAGGCTGGCAAAGCTTAGCCCACAGTGACCTTTAAAGAGCTGCAAGGAGTTATATTTTTTTTTTGTAGTAATGTTGGTCCTCCGCACTTGAGATACATCAAACCTCCCTTGCCTTGCAAAAACATACTCTGAAGCTGGTTAACAAACTTGAGCTGAGTTAAAAAAAAAATAACCCCATAACCCCAACCAAGAATTGGGAATTTCTAGCAGAAAACATCATTTTTGGCACGGCACAAATTAAATAATTCCAAGCCATTTTATTTTCTTGCTTTCCTTTTCTTTTGGCTCTTTTGATGTGGTGGAGAATACAAGGAGGAGCTTCATCACAAGATTGGTATCCAGGGTGATGCAAGATGAAAAATAGTCAACACACAGTTAAGTAAATAACTTCAGCCTTTAGGATGGAAAGGGAAGGCAAAAAGAGTAGTAGGTTTTTCCTGTCATATCACCAAACCAGTGTTGACACTGGTTATGTTGCTTTGCATAATTAAAAAGCCATGAGACAGTTCACCAGAGAAAAGGGCATTTCCAGAAGAGATCACAGTGTTGTGCCCAGGGTCCCAGAAGGGAATTAGAGTGGTAGAGTTGCCCATAGACATTTTCAGCCTTCGCCCTTTCTTGCTTGTTCTGGGAAGACAGGATCCATTTGAATGTTTTCCATGAAGAGTTTATTTCAGTGTTTGAAAGGTTTCAGTTGAAATAAAAACTCATGTGGACTGTTTAACACCTCAGAGGAAAACCAAACCTACGGGGCTGATGGGGTCCATGTGCCCTGTAGGTTCCCAGCACGTGGAGATGGTTCTGGTTAGGGCCAGTTGTCTCGTAACGCTGTTCTCTTCATGGATGTCCTTGTGGTTTAGGATTTTACCCACAGCACCAGAGCATTTTAGGGGTTTATTTTGTGCATGTTGAGGAGAATTTGAAAGACTCATCCAAACTGAATGTTGGTGCAAATCTTCTTCATCTGCTGCTGGTGTGCTCCCTGTCCTGCTGTATTGTTTGAAAACACGTGTGGTGGGGGAGGGGGATAAATGTGGATGGGTGGTTTGGCCCTGCAGGAAGAATCTGAGTGCCCTGGGAGAAGGAATAAGGAGTAGGAACACCCCAGCCAGCTGTGTAATCCTCACTGGGTCATTCAGACTGAACCCCTGGGAGAGGAAGATGGCATGCTGCATCCCTCATGTGAATGGGAAAGTTAATTAAACCATTGCCTCAAAAAAACCCACCTAAACAGCCAACAACAAAAGAACCCCTCACCAAACAAAAAAGCAGCTCTGTGTGCAGAAAGGCTGCCTCGTTCCTCATGCCCTGACAGCTGGAGAGATGCCCTTCCAGCCCTACATAAACCTACGGAAATGACCCCTCTGCTCAGAGCTGGCCACAGGGTTGTATCTCCCACCTCCCCAGAAGGGAACAAAGGCCTGAAATTTGCCATTGGAAATGTGTGTTCACTCCATCCAATCTCAACAGCTTCTGGATGGGCTGTGGGACAGGATGGGGCACTGAAAAAGGGGATGATATAATGCTGACTTCTCTTTCCATCCGCAGTGGGAGCGCCTCTGGTTCCTCATCCTCACCTCATCCTTCTTCCTCACCCTGGTCTGGTTTTACTTCTGGTGGGAAGTTCACAATGACTACAATGAAATCAACTGGTGAGTGGAGTTCTCCTTAAGAGATCTGATTGCCTTCACGTGCCTCTCAGAGCTGTCGGGTGCATTTGGATCCTTCAGGTGGGCTTGCTGGTGATGATAAAGGGAAAGCAAGGTGGGAAGTGAGGCTGAAGAAGAGCTGCTTCTGCCTCATTCATGTGTGGATGTGATGTGCCCTCACATCTCCACTGTGTGGCTGCAGCAGAGCTTGGGGTGGATGTGCTCCCTGGAGAACATGGAAACAAAGGCGGTGCATGAAATCACATAGAAGCTTTTTGGTTGGTTTGGGTGTTTTTGTTTGGTTGGTTGGGTTTTTGTTGGGTTTTTGTTTGTTTGTTTGTTTGTTTAGGTGTGTGGGCTTATTGTTTGCTTGCTTTGTTTATTCTGTGGGTGTTTTTTTTTTGTTTGGTGGCTTTGTTTTGTTTATTCCTATGGTTGGCTGGTTTTGGAAGTGGCTGAGCAATTTGACTGCAACTTCCCACAAAAATACAAATGGCAAAAGTTCAGCCTGAAGCACAGGGGGGTGCAAAATGTTGCAAAGCTGGAAGGAGCTGCAAACAAGCTTCCCAGGACATTGCCAGCTCCCTCCAGTGCTGGAAGTTACTCTCCCTTTCACTATCTGGGCAGGATCTTAAAACATATTCTGACCAAACTGCTTTGACATCATCTGCTTGTCAAACATAAGCTGTATTTTAAAGCACTGTGGGCCCTTAGATCCCTTAAATAAACCATGTGCTTCAGACGCTGGAGCTGTGAGGGAGTGTTCAGTGATGCAGGGACCTGAGATGTCTCCTCCCAGGATGGGGGTTTTTCTCTCTGCTCCCACCCACACTGTGAGAGATGAAACCATCACCATTGCTCTTGATTATTTATACCAGGAGCATGATAAAAAAATGTCGTGTTTAAAGTGGTATTTTAGAACTCCTCTGTTCTCCAGATTGCACCCTCAGTGAAGGATGGGAGTGCTCCCAGTCCATCCAATGAAAAGCCAAACCTGTTTCAGCTCCAAGCTGTGAAAGGGCTAAAAAAAGTCGTGCAGAAAGGCAGGAAAGCCCGGGAATGCTGTGAATGGGCACTGCAGCTGCAGTGCTGCCAAGTTTGGGTTCCCAAGTATTCCTGCTGGAGTGGGAGGAGATGTTCAGGTCTTCCCTGGATGCAACAGGCAGCTGGGATTTCACAAAGCCAGAGCCCAGCATGTATTGCTTCGGGCTTTTAACCTTTTTTTGTTTCCTTGAGGCTGAATATCATCAGGTCCCTGTTAGTGAAAGTACTTTGGAATTATTAGTTTTTAATGTATTGCTTCAGGCTTTTCCCCCTTTGGTGTCTCCACTGAATTGCATTAAACCTCAGCTATCCAGTGTGTAAGGTGTGTACTGGCACAGAAAGCCAAAGTCTGGCTCAGGAAGGCTGGGGAGATGCTGCAGTTTGGGAACCTGGCTGTGTTCCCTCTGCAGCAGGACTGCAAATGCAGGTCTGGGTAGGATATTTTTTTTATTTCCTTAGTTCTGGAGAAGGCTCATCTGGTTCATAGCTGCCATGGAAACAGCATTTTAAACCAGTCATTTGCACATCAAGTGAAGACCTGGTGCTATCAGAGGGCCACTTGAAGGGACATCAGAGCAAAAACTTACATGGGCTGAAGCTGAGCTAAGGAGCCTTTGGTGGTGGCCTAAGCAAAGGCTTCAGAGGAGCCCTCTTTGCTTTCTTCCCTCTGTCTTGCTAACAGCATGTCTGCATCCCTACAGATCCCTGCTTTTGTGGCTCTTTGAATCCCTGGGCAGAACCTGGACACGGGCCATGGTTGTTGAGCCTCAGGATTTGCTTTCCAGACTCTGTGAGGGAGCTCCTGGCCAGAATTAGAATCACAGAGTTGGGAGGGACCCACAGTGGAGCCCTGTACAGGACAGCCCCAAAAATCACACAGATGGGTGTTGTCCAGCTGGAGCAGTTGCTGGACCAGAGCTCCTGCCTGGTGGACGGTGCTGGGTTTGAGTGGTGGGAGGAGGTTGAGTCTCTGACCCCCATTTCTGCAGTGCAGCACTTCTGTCTGTTGTAACCTAAAAAAAAACAAAGGCAACAGAAGAACCTGCCAGTTCACTGAATGAGCTGATGAGGAGGGCTGAGGAAGGCTGGTGGGACCATTCAACCCGAGCTCCACTGCTGCACCACCCACCCCACAAGCATCTTGTTGTACCAAAGGCTTTGCATGGAGATAACCTCAACCCTAATCCAGATCAATTTGGGGGAGGTTTTTGTTTGTTTGTTTGTTTCCTAATAATTCACTGGAAAAAGTTTTAAGGCAGGTCAGGTTTGAAGTTACAAACAGGTTCTGGGATATGTCTGCCTCTCTTCTTGTGTGGTGGGGCTGAGTGCCCTTCATTTCTGCCCAGGGGAGGGATTTGACCAGGTCTATCTTATGTCTTCTGTGGCTTTGCTGTAAATACACTTTAATGACTCTCTAATCCAACTCCAGGATGGTTTCACTGGGAAATACATTGCTATTTGAATGCAGATTTGACATCTGAGACCCCAAAGCACAAGGGGCAGTGCTGCTGCTGTGAATAATGGTCTGCCCTGCCTGGTGCCCCTGTTCAGAAAGCTTTTGCTACCCATTTGGCTTCATGAAGGTGCTGAGGAGAGGCAGGACGTTCGTAGGGAAAAATTTTTCAGAAAACTCAACTCTGGTCTTGGATGATTTTTTTTGTCTTTTTTTCCTCTAAAGCAAAGTGGTTGCTGTGTTTGAGATAATTGTCCAATTCCTCTTTGCAGAGTTAATTTCCCGTGAGGAATCAAAGCACAAACACTGGGTTTTGTTTCGGAGTGACTTGTGCTTTTTGCTGCCTCTCTCTCACCTGGAGAGAGAGAGAGAATGGAAAGCCCTGTTTTTCAGAGCCTTATCTAATCCTGGTGAAGCTGTTCTGGTGGTGAATCCCTTCTTCATCTGCACTTCACACTTTCTCTTCCAGGTTTTTATACAACCGAATGGGATATTGGAGTGACTGGTCCATTCCAATCCTTGTCACAACTGCTGCTGGCTTCACCTACATCACAGTGTTATTGGTGAGTGGAAAAAAGGCCAGTTCTTAGAGGTTTGGGTGTTTGCTTTAAAAAGGGCACGAACTTCTCAGTCCACCTACGACTTTCAGAAGCGATTTTTCTCTCTCAGTCTCTTTTTCTTAGCCTTAAGTTGCCTAAAATAAGCGGAAAGTGAAAAATTCATGGGCTTTGACCTCGGATGATTGAAAGCAAGACAGATACCTTGACAGCCCTGGTGCAGTTGGCCTGAGGAGGAATGTAGCTCTTTTTTTCCCTTGGTATATGGCCCAGTTTCCACTTTGGTGTATCTGCCAGGCACAAGTCCAAGTTGTTCCCCTCATCCCAAGGTGTTGGGGCCTTCAAGGTGGTGTCCATGGACCAGACTCTCAACTCCCTGCACCTTGGAGGTCAAAAGTCTCTTCTTCCACATCCTTGGCTTTGGAGAGGATGTGTTTGTACAGCTGAGCTGGGTGGTATCTGCTGGACTCATCCCCACTCCAGCCCAGCTGGCTGCCCTGGCTTTTTTTGGTTGTCCTCCTGGATGGATGGTGATGTGTTCCTGCACGTTCCAGCGCTCAGAGGTTGTGATGTGCCTCATGCCTGGCTCTTGGTTTCTCCCTCCCAGATCCTCGCCCTGTGTCACATAGCTGTGGGACAGCAGATGAACCTGCACTGGCTGCACAAGGTGAGTGGCTCTTCCCAGCTCCAGGGGAGCAGGATCTCTGAGGAGCAGGTGGGGGTGTGACACTCACTTGGCACGGGGGCTGGGAACAGCATGAAACGTCTGTGGTGAATGTGCCCTCCTGTCAGAGGACTGAGCAAACTGCTCAGGAGGGGCCCTGGGCACAAAGAATGTGCTGAAATGCTTTGGGGGCCCTGCTGGCGGAGGGACCATCCTGTGGAGAGGGAGAAACAACCTGACTTCAGTCTCAGCCCAACCTGGTACACCCTGAACCTCCCTGGGGCTCCTTTCTGTGCCGAGCCCAGCCCTGAAGGAGGGGCTGAGCAGATGTGAAGCTGTTCAGGATGTGCTGGGAGGAACTGACTGGAAAAAACCTCGGGAGAAGGTGTAGGTGTTGAAACTGCGGGGTGTGCAACGTGCAGGTTGGGCTTTGTGGGGCCTGAGTTGATCCTGATCTGTGTGTAAAGCAGTTGGAAACTCTGAAATGCCAGGGAAGATGCAGGTCTGGGGTGTGGAGCACAGAAGGGGAGAGGAAGGGGATGGAGGGACAGGCAGTGCCAAAGGGAACAGGTTGGCAGCATTTAATTGTAGCTGGCAGCCTGCTAACTGGTAATGAAGGGACCTGTCCCAAATCTGCTGATACACAGCTCCTCCTGAAACTGCTTGTTCTGCTCCTGACAAGGTCCTGCAGGATCAGAGACCTCCCAGCACAGGGAGAGCAAAGCTCTGCCAACCTTCCCTTTTTTTCTTAGGAATTATAGAAATTCTGCTTCCTCTGGAGAAGGGGATGCAATCAGGGAGGGGGCAGGGACTGTCTGGCTGCTGCTGCAAAATAAACTGTTGATTCTGGAGTCAAACATATGTTTCTTCATCGGGGAAATGGCATTTTTCAGACACGCTCCAGGTGGCTGGTGGGTTTAGATGAGTAAGTCCAGAAGAGGAATGTGTTGGTGGAGATCAGGTAGTTCTACCCTGCAGGACCCCAGCCTTCCTTCTTTTCTTCCAAAGAAGCCCATCTTTCATCACAGCTCAGATGTGTTGCTCCATCCCTTCCCTTCCCCACACCTCCCTCAGCTTTCTGAGGAGGTCTGAGATACAAGACAGGAACAAGTTAATATTTTTCTCTGCAACTGTGCTGAATTATCTTCAAATATAGATTGGAGGGTTGGGAAAGGCTGGTGTGTGTGAACCACACAGCTCCTTCCAGTTTTCTCCTGCAATTTCCTGAAGAGAGCTGAGCACTGTAAGCCAAGTTGAAGATGGATGGGGGAGGATAAGAAGCAGTAAATGGGAGGAAGAAAGGTGTCCTGACACCTCTGTGCCCCAGGCTGTTTGAGTGAAGCCTCTTGGCTCAGGGATCCCCTTCACCCTGGGGCAGCTGGATCTCTTGGCCCCTTGTGGTGCCCCATGTGGTTTGTTCCTGTTCCCTGGAGACACCTCGTGGGCACCTGGGTGAGGAGCAGCAGGTGGGAACTGAAGCTATGGTATAAAGAGCAATCCTGTCTAGATACAGGAGTGATTTCTGTAAGCATTGGGGGGGTTTATTTGCTTGTCTGAGGGATTAAGTAAACCTGAAATGGGTGTAGAGGTGTCCTGTGCATCCAGGATGACCAGTCCATTGCAGGGGTCTTTTCTGCCCAAGTCTCCAGACAGATTTCAGGTCTGACAGTGCATGAGACTGTTCCATAGAGCAGCAGCAGCATCCTCTGAATCCTGCAGATGTGCAGAACAGCAGAGACTGAGATACTAGACAGGGGCGGGGAACACTGAATTATTTTTAGACAGACAGCCCAGATTTTGGGTCTTTACAGCTGCAGCCATTCCTGTGGCACTTTCTGATGGGGCTGAACTTTTTACCTTCAAAATGCAGGTCGTGGTTTCACTTTGACTGCTTTGCTCAGACTTCTGAGTGCTTCCACAGGCTGGGAATGGATTGGGTCTCTGCCATCTCAGTTCAGCCACTGGCTCCTCCAGAGTCCCTTCTCAAGCTGCAGTATCTGTTGTAACTGCTCTGCCAAAATGACTTGGATGCTGTTGCAGCAGGCCCAGGAGAGTCTGGGATCACCTCCTGAAGTTCCTGGCAGAACCCAACCTCTATTTAAGCTGGTTTCAGTCCAGTTTGTTGGCAAAGCAAATCACCTGATCTTCCCTTACCTTTGTGTGAGGAAAATGAGAGCTCACCCCTGAGATGTGCCCTCCTGGGACTGTTTAGCCCAGAGTTCTGTGGTGGAAAAGGGGAGGTTGTGGTGGCACAGCACACAAGCCCAGCTTCTTTCCCTGGGGATCTTGACACTGGTTGGTTTAGGCCTTTTATTACCTGCAAAATTTTTCTCTCTCTCCATTTGCCAATCTGTGATTTTTTTTTTTTTTAATGATAACACAGGCTCCAGGCTGTAAACACTCCCTTGATTTGTTGCAGATTGGCCTGGTGACAACGTTGATAACCACGGTGGTGACCATGTCATCCATAGCACAGCTCTGGGACGACGAGTGGGACATGGTGTTCATTTCACTGCAGGTGAGTTGACTGCCATGCTGCTCCTCTGGGTGGGAGAAGGCTCCAGTGCAGCTGAATGCCAGGAATTTGGTGGCTTTTTTCCACATTGCACATGTATTTTTATTTTTAATATATATATAAATATAAATTTCTGTACTCTGGTGCTCTTTTAAGAAGGACTTTTGTGGCATCCTGCATGGCGCTATAGAAATATTAGTGGAAAATACTTATAAACTGGTAACTTCTTGATAGACCTGCTCTCTGTTCCTTATTTTCGTCTTCCTCAAGAAAGAGTCCAAAAATATTTTGCCCATGAAAGGCTAAAAAGATTTTACTGGTAATCAGTGCTGTATATTTGGGAGTATGCAAATATATGCAAATAATGAGGGTGGAAATGGCATTCACACAAGTGACTAACATTTCTCAGAAGTGCTTCATTTTATTGGGGTTTTTTTTTTTAAGATTCAGGCAGCAGTTGGAGGGCAGAAGCATGACTCAGATGAGACATCTCCAGCTTTGTGTCATGGTGATGCACAGTCCGGTGTGTTCAGAGAATCAGAGCAGAGTTTGGGTTGGAAGAGACCTTAAAACTCATCCAGTGCCACCCCCTGCCATGGGCAGGGACACCTTCCTCTAGCCCAGGTTGCTCCAAGCCTCGGACACTTCCAGGGATGGGGCAGCCACAGCTTCTCTGGGCAACCTGTGCCAGGGCCTGCCCACCCTCACAGGGCAGAATTCCTTCCCAATATCCCATCCAACCCTGCCCTCTGGCAGTGGGAAGCGATTCCCCATTGTCTGTGTTATCACCTGAGCTATTCCCCCAAAATGGGGTTCAAGTTCTCCTTCTCTACCTTCACAGTGATCCAAATGCCCAAAGGCAGTGGCAGGATTTGGAAGAAGCCGTGGCCAAAGCAGGTGCAGGATCCAGCTGGGAAAGTTAGTGCTCTGATGCCCCACAGAACCTGCAAGGCCAGTGAATTTTCGAGGTGCTGGGGTGGTTTTAATCCTGTTTTAACCCTGTTTTTCTCTCGTGTTGTTGTGTCCTGCAGGCCACAGCCCCTTTCCTGCACATAGGAGCCCTGGCAGCAGTCACAGCACTGTCCTGGTTGGTGGCGGGGCAGTTTGCACGGACAGAGAAAGCCAGTGAGTACCTCCCGTGGCCTTGGGGGCTCAGGGGCTGCTCAGGGGCTGTTGGGGCACTGGGTCCTCTTGTTGGCAACCAGCTGGCAGTGCTGGTTCCTTCCCAGGGTTCAGTCTCCATCCCAGCCACACTGGGGATGTGGATGCACCCAGATCCCGTGGCTCAATTTGTGCATGCCAGGGCTGGAGCTGCAAAGGTTGTTTTCAATGGTGGAATGAGTGAAAGCATCCAGATTTCCATCAGTGTGCCTTAGGAAACATAAAGGCAGCCCATGTGAAATGTTCTTCTCTGTAGCTCAGAAGTCTCTCCCTTGCTCTCTCTTCTTGGCTCTCTGGGTTTCCAGGAAAGCCTTCGTGGAATTGTTGGTTGTGGTGCAGCAGCACCCAAAGGGCTCAGTAGGGATCTGGTCCCCCAATCACAAAGTCACTGAGGTTGGAAAAGCCCTCAGAGATCGAGTCCAACCATTCCCCCAGCACTGCCAAGGCCACCACTCGCCCATGTGCCCAAGTGCCACATCCACAGGGCTGTTAAACCCCTCCAGGGATGGGGACTTCCCCACTGCCCTGGGCAGCTGTGCCAGGGCTGGACAACCCTTTTGGGGAAGAAATCTTCCCTAATATCCAAGCTAAACTTCCCCTGGCTGTTTGGGAGGTTGAGGGTTCTGTTTTAAATCCATATTGAGGCGTGGTCAGAGGTCTCAGGGAGCAGAGTGGTGAAGGACATGCTGAGCCAAGCTGTTCCTCCAGGTTTTCCTGTGAAATAATTTGATCCTTCTGTGCCCTCAGAAGTGTTTTTCTCCAGGGCAGCCAGGGATGTTCTCAGACATTGGTGCCAGCACCAGAAAAATATTGGTTTAATTGGTATTTAACCTGCAGTAAAATACAAGCCCTGGAAGGATTTGGCAGCACTTGCAAAAGACTTCCAAGAAGTGGGAGTTGAGAATGAGGAAATGTCTGAAGATGGAAAGATTTTGCTACCCAGAGAGCCCTTTCAGGAGAGAATTGTGCCTTAATTTATAAATGTGCCAATGAGGCTGTACCTGGTTCTCCTTAACTGTGTCCCAGCATGTCATGGGGGTGCCAGCTGAGGAGGATTTGTGGTTCTGCCTGGAGCAGAGCCTGCATGGGCTCCTTCTGAATTCCTCCTCCTTTTTCTCTTCCTGCTGACTTCCCTGAAAATGGCTTTTGATTATTTTTTATTTTCCACCATTTTTAATCTTTGCCTCCTCCTTTTATTTTTTCGTTTCCCTTTTTTCTCATTTCTTTTTCTCGTTTATTTTTTCACTTTCATTTCTCTTTTTTCTTTCTATTGTTTCCTTTTTCTTGTTTCTCTTTTCTTCTCTTTTTGTTTCCTTTTTTTTCTTGTCTCTCTTGTTTCTCTTTTTTTTCTTGACTCTTTTTATCTTTTTTGTCTCCCTCTTTTTCTTTTTTCTTTGTCTCTTTGTCTTTTTTCTTGTTTTTCTTTTTGTTTCTCTTTTTATTCTTGTTTTTCTTTTTCTTTCTCTTTTTATTCTTGTTTTTCTTTTTGTTTCTCTTTTTATTCTTGTTTTTCTTTTTGTTTCTCTTTTTATTCTTGTTTTTCTTTTTGTTTCTCTTTTTATTCTTGTTTTTCTTTTGTTTCTTTTTATTCTTGTTCTTGTTTTCTTTTTTGTTTCTCTTTTTATTCTTGTTTTTCTTTTGTTTCTCTTTTATTCTTGTTTTCTTTTGTTTCTCTTTTTATTCTTGTTTTTCTTTTGTTTCTCTTTTATTCTTGTTTTTCTTTTTGTTTCTCTTTTATTCTTGTTTTCTTTTTGTTTCTCTTTTTGTTTCTTTTGTTTCTTTTTCTTTTTTCTTTGTTTCTCTTTTTATTCTTGTTTTTCTTTTTGTTTCTCTTTTTATTCTTGTTTTTTTTGTTTCTCTTTTTATTCTTGTTTTTCTTTTGTTTCTCTTTTTATTCTTGTTTTTCTTTTTGTTTCTCTTTTTATTCTTTTTTTTCTTTTTGTTTCTCTTTTTATTCTTGTTTCTCTTTTTATTCTTGTTTTTCTTTTTGTTTCTCTTTTTATTCTTGTTTTTCTTTTTGTTTCTCTTTTTATTCTTGTTTTTTTGTTTCTCTTTTTATTCTTTTTTTTTTTGTTTCTCTTTTTATTCTTTTTTTTTTTTTCTCTTTTTATTCTTTTTTTTGTTTCTCTTTTTATTCTTTTTTTTTTTGTTTCTCTTTTTATTCTTTTTTTTCTTTTTGTTTCTCTTTTTATTCTTGGGGGTTTTTTTGTTCCTCTTTCTCTTTTTCCTCTCCCTCTCTTTTTCCTCTCCCTCTCTTTTCTTTTAGAAGCCAGGGAGGTGTTTTCCTTCTCTCTTTCTGCTCCTGGGTTCCTTTTTCATTTGTTTGTTTTTAAGAACACACATATCCTATCTCCTTATCCTAAAATTATTTCAGGGTCATTTTACTTGTGAAAGGGTAACTTACCTGGAAGAGGAACCTTCTCCATCTCCAGAGCTGGGTGTTGGTGGTGAGCCCCCAGTACACACACAGAGCGGTGTTAAATGCACCAGCGTGGTGCCACGGCCTGTGTAAGTGGCCATCTGTTTTCTGCTGCCAGGCAGGGCAGAATTTGGTGCTGTCCCACCCAAAGGGTGGAAAATCAGCTGTGTTCGGGGCTGTGTTGCTGGGGTTTGGATAACTGACGGCGTTTTCACCAGCTGCCTCCCCTCTCTCCCCACGCCAGCCTCCCAGATGCTGATGTTCACCGCATACCTCGCAGTTGTAGTTGCACTTTACCTCGTCCCCCTCACCATCTCCTCCCCCTGCCTCATGGAGAAGAAGGCCCTGGGACCAAAGCCAGCCATCATAGGGCACCGTGGAGCACCCATGGTGAGTAGCCCCACGTGGTTTTACACCCTTCTGCCCGTGGGGAGGGTCTGATTGCAGAGAGAATGCACATCAAACCCTCCTGACTGGAATTACTCTGGCAGTGAAGCTGTACGTGAACCTGGAGTCAGCTCCCTGTCCCCCAGATGTTTTAAGCTGCCTCACAAACACAAGGGCGATCCTCGCCTTGCTGGGGCTGGTTTGGGCCTTGTTTTGGCTGCTGGTTTTCATAGAATCAGAGGATATTAAGGGGTTGGGAGGGATCTTAAAGATCATCCAGTCCCAAACCCCCCTGCCATGGCAAGGACACCTCCCACTAGAGCAGGTTGCTAAAGGCTGTGTCCAGCCTGGCTTTGAACGCCACCAGGGATGGGGCAGCCTCAGCCCCCCTGGGCAGCCTGTGCCAGGACCTGCCCACCCTCACAGTAAAATATTCTCTTCCTAACATCTAACCTAAATATTTATTTTTGCTGGATTTTGCTCTCAAGGCTTGACCCACGAGCTGAAGCAGTAGAGGTTTCTGATATTATTATTATTATTATTGTTATTTTAGAGCTTGAGGCTCAATGTCCATGTCCTTTGCAGGACCTCAGCAGCAGTGGTTGTACTCAGCTCGCAGCAAAATGCCCTCCAGGATGTGGCAATCTGCAAAAAAACCAAGCTGTGCTGAGCCTGCACGAGTGCCCTGTGCTCTTGCATTGCAGATCAGCATGAGAATGGGTGAGCTGGTGAAACACTCTTGCCTCTGGGTAGACCTTGAAATCATAATCACACAGTCCTTTCTTCTCCAAGGCTTCTGGACCTGTCCAGGCAGAGGACAGAGCACGTTTGCTTGGGCAGGGCCATGGAGTTGTGGAACACTTTGGGTTGGAAGGGTCATCTAGTCCAGAGCTGTCCTAGGGTGGCACATCTGTAGTCTGGGGGCTTCTGTGCCCAGGTCTGTGGAGTGGTCACATCCCCAGCTCTCTGTGCTGGCTGACTGACTTCAAAGATTTCAGTATAGTCACGGCTCTTGGGGGTGAATTTAACTCTTTTAAGGCATCCAACTAACATTTTTCTGGCATTCAAAGCAGAAAGAAATATCTGTATAGGCTGTTGGAAGCTATTTTGCAGGCTGGAGTGTGCTTGAGCTCCTCTCCAAGCTCAGGGCTGTGCACCAGGAGTTTGCTGGGTGAGATAAAGACCTGTCGTGACACAAGTATTTTATTTGAGTTCTCTTTATTTTTCGTGTTTTCTTTCTCTTAAGCAGCCCCTTGAAATGCCAGCTTCATCTGCATAACTCCTTTTAACTAGATGTCCCCTGTGGGTGGTGGGAGGAAGTTCTGGGCACGAGAAATGCTTTCTCCTGTCCTGCTCAGTTTGTACCAACCACAAGGGCCAGAAGAAGCCAGGTGAGAACCCCGGGCTTTCTGTGAGACAGAAAATCCCACACCCTGTGGGGAGATTCTCTTCCTGTGGGGTTTGCAGCCCTGTGTGCCCTCCACAGCCTTTCCTAAAGGAGCTGAACAGCAAACAAATCCCTTCTGTCTTTGAGGGGTTTACATAAACCTTATCTGGAGGAGGAATCCCAGCTGACAGTTGGTCCTTTGCTTCTCATTCTTCCTTGGAGCCAGCAAACACTTGTTGCAGTAAGGAATAAACCCTTCTGGGAAGTGCTGACTGTGTGTTGGGGGTTGATGAAGAGCAGCAGTGGAGCTGTGCCAGGTGTTGTTTAGCAGGGCACATCCCTCCTCTTCCCATTCCATGGCACCCAGAGCTGGTTGCCTGTGAGCAGCAGGTGGTTTGCTCTGAATCCCGGGAGAATCAAGGTCAGGGACCAGCAAGCCACAGTCTGCACGTCCCATGAGGAGCTGGCAGCAGCCTCATCCAACTGCTCTGCCTTTGCTGCACGTGAAGTGAGCGCCCTGGAACGGCAGAGCCGAGGTGGGATGGGAAAGGTGAGGACCAGAGTGGCCAAAATGTCCTCCTGCACTTCTGTCTGTGCCCAGCTTTTCGCTGTGCCAGGTGTCACCTTGAGTTTGAAGAGCTGCAGTGCAAGCCCTCAGGTCGTACCTGCTTTGCTTTTTGGAATTAATGAGTTTAAGCCCTGCCAAAGGCGTTGCTGCCAGTGGGGTCGTGTTTCACAGGGCTGCCCGTGACGCTTTTGCTGCAGAGCCCAAGTGTGTGTAGATGGAGTTCAGAGAAGTGGCCAGGTGGAGCTGGGGAGCATGGAACAGCCCAGGGAAGTGTGGAGACCGGGCTGTAGGACACAGCCAGCCTCCCTTGGGCAATGCCATGGAATCACAGGATGGTTTGGGTTGGAAGGGACCTTAAACACACTACTAGTGGGTCCCTTCCCACTCAGCGTGTTCTGTGATCAACCACCGCCGAGTTCCAGCGCCTGCCACGGGCAGGGAATCTTCCCCTAGGGATCAAAAATGTCGGGAGCAAAACCCTGCACAGCTTGGGAGTTTGGGGCCTGAGGTGGAACCAGAGCTGGTGCAGGTAAAAAGCGATGCAATATTTGCCTTCAGGTCTCCTGAAGCAGGGCTGATGGGACTTGCTGTGCAGACAGACACACTCTGGGGTGTGGAGACTGAAGCTTCTCCTGCCTGGCAGGACCGGGCCCCTCGTGTTGCATTTACACATCCAACATCTTCTCCCAAAAAGGCACAGATACACCTGAGTGCTCTTCTGGCAGCAAAGGCTGAAGAAAAACTGGTGGTTTCTTAGATGGTTTGGGGGGACTTTGTTTCCTTGGTGGTTTTGAGGGCCTTACTTTCATTTTTATCTTGTGTACCAAAACATTGTCACCGTCTATTTGGGGTGGCTTTGGGTTTTTTCTTTTTTCTTTTTTTGCTTTGGTTTGTTGTACAGCTTATGTTCAGATTAAAAATGAGGGCAGTCGACCCATGTGCTGCCCAGCCAGTGGCAGCAAACAATCCCAACTGGCATCTCCTGCCAGGCCTGGAGAAAGGCTTGTGCTCAGGGAGATAAGTCCCTGTCAGCTCAGGGAGTCTTTCATTAAATCAACCTTCAGCTTTTTCTCTGTGTGTGCAGGGCAATAATGAGCCCTCATCTCCTGCATGGAGTTATTAAATCCCTAATGGCTTCTGCTTATGAGTTTATCTTGTCCAAAGCAGTTTTGGGGATTTTTTTTTTCCTCTGTTTGTTTTGTGCTTTTCCCCTTGCTTTCAGCCTAGCTGAACTACTTCCTGAAAAGTTGGATCATAAAATCGCAGAATGGCTTGGGTTGGAAGGGACCTTCAAGACCCTCCAGTTCCAGCCCCCCAGGATTAATTATGGATGTTCTCTAAAATATGAATTCCTGGGGATTAAAGTTACATTTTATTTATTTTATGGTTTGGACAGAATTGTTGTTGCCCTGTAGGAACCTGGGCCACCAATGCTGAAATCCAATGTACTGGCAGATCCCACGCTAAGCCCCATACAGGAAACTTCCAAAGGGCATCATTTTACACAAAAAAAAAAAAAAATATTTTTTTAGGTGTTGCCCTAACCATGCCTTGTGGGTTTTTGTCCAGTTCCAGATAATTATTGGAAAGGAGAGGTAAGAGAGAGAAAATAATACTAATCATAATAATAATTTTAAAAAGCTCAGATTTCCAAAAGGACAAGAAAATATCCTTAAAACCTGTTAATGAAACAAAAATCAGATCCTTTAGTGCAACTCAGTGCACAATCCCAGGATGAGTTGGGTTGGGTTGGGTTGGAGGGGACCTTAAAGACCGTCCCATTCCACCCCTTGCCATGGGCAGGGGCACCTTCACTAGACCAGCCAGAGGTGCTGCTGATAGTTTGGAATAAAATACTCTGTCCAAGCTCCTTCCTTAACCTCCCCAACATACAAATGATGTCATGATTTTTTTTTTTTTGAAGTCCTGGCTAATTAGTGGAAAAATACAACGTGGTGATGTCCAGAGCAAGGTTAGGCTGCTCTAACTAACACGATTTCATAATCTTCATTAAGGAGGGTCCAAAGCTCTTGACTCTGTTTGAATGCATTTGGAATGGATTTCAGAGCACAAAAATAGTCCAAGTGAGTTCATTCACGGGTAATTTTGTAGAAATGACTGGCTGTGTCTCTGCAGCAGGGAGGAAAGAATAGCAGCCTGATTTTAAGGGGTGAGCCTTTCAAACCAAGCACAGAGAGGAGGAGCAGCTCCTCCAAACCCTGTCTGCCTTCCAGTGATGGAGGATTGTATAGGAGAGGGGATTTGGGCTGAAATCGTTGCTTTGTGTCCCAAGTTTCTTTAAGAGATTGGTTGAGTCCATTGCTGCAAACCTGGATTTAGGACGTAGACATAACATGCCTGAATATATATTGTATATGAATATTGTTTCAAGGAGGAAGCCCCTACAGAACCCTGGAGGGAGACAGAAATACAAGCAGAAAGATTGTACATTTATTTAGTTACTGCAGTTTTCCTGTGAAACTTTTTTTTTCTTTTTAAAATCACAGTAATTTCAGTAGTTTAATTCCTGTAACAGCAGCTGCCCCACTTGGATGCATCTCTGCCTTAAATATGCTGAACTAGGGGATTCAGCTCCCTCTTTTTCTGAGGAACAGAGGCAGGCTGGGATGATGGAAATGCCTGTATCTCAGACTCTCCCTTCTCACAAAAAACCCTCCCACTGCAGGGGGTATAAACTCCTGGTGTGGGGAAATCTGCCTCCAGAGTGGGGCCAGGGGAACCTCTGGGAATAGCTGGATTTTAGGGGCCAAGGTTAAATTTGCTTTCCTGGCTTTCTGGTGGATCTTCCCCGGGTTATGCCCTCGGGGTGAGCGGCTCGTTCAGCTCCTTGCAGTGGAAGGGCTGCGGTGAGGTCTCCTGGGGGCCCCTTCAGGCACTGGAAGGTTCTCTGGGATCTCCCCAGAGCTGGACACCCCCCAGCTCCCCCAGCCTGGCTCCACAGGGGAGGTGTTTGTGGGGCTGTGGGTGCAGCTCATGCTTGTCCTGGTGTCACATCGTGAGCTGGGGCTTGTGCTGCAGGTGCCCGGCAGCTCTCCCTGCCCAGCTTGGCTCTCTCTAGCTCAGCCCTCTCTCCTTTGAGGGCTCCTCACTGCCTTTCCTTCCCGAAAAGCCAGTGCTGGGCATTGCGCTGGAGAGAGAGGATCACCTTGCAGGGTTATCCTGCGGAAACCGGAGCCGCTCGGGAAGGGAAACCCGAGACGCTGAAAAGCAACCCAAGGAGACAGCGGCGAGTCCGGATGGGATCTCCAGGTCCTTGTGGCTGCTGCTCTCTGCTGGGCATCGGGCACACGGCGAAAACCTCCCTCCCTCAGCTCGACCTTGGGTGACCCAGCCCTGGGCTCTGCGGGACCGTGGCGAGGGGGGAAGGTTGCCTCTGTCTTCGCCTAAACAAGTCTGGCGTTGATTGGGAGCTTTTTTTAGGAAGATAACGTGCCTCTGTGCTGCCTTTGTTGAGCAAACATCCCAATGAGCCGGTCCTGATGCGCGGCTGGAGCCAGAGGAATTCAGTGAGATAGCTGGGCTGTGAGAAGGTGGTTGCTGACATTTGGTCTGATTGTTTTACCCCCTGAGCCTGTAAAGTGATCAGCTTTGTAAGGAAACAAATGGCACCTTAGATGCTTGAGCGGGTTTTTATCTGTATTTATTTTTGTGTGCATCTTGCTCACGTGGTGCAATTAGGCCTTTGCTCTTAATTATTCCTCTTTCCAACTCCTGGGTGATCCTTGAAAATCACGGGTTGTGAAAGCTTGTACCTTGATGGAAACTCAGTCCTGTCCATAGGGATCAATTTTCTAGGCTTAAGGCTGCTTTTTAATTATTGTTAAAACTCACTGCGAGATGTATTATTAGAGAAACCATCTGATGTTTAGTCTAATAGATGACTTTATTGCATGACTAGATGCAGAAATAAAACGGCTGGTACACGATGTGTGGCCTTGTTTTCTTCCTGGTGTGGATAACAGCCTGCTTCATGGTCTATAAATATGCATTTCTTTCTATAATGGCATTTGAAACACTGTTTGCATAGAAAAGTAGGAGAATGAAAGTGTAAGGTGTAACCTGCAAAACAAGGTTGTTTTGGCTCCCCAGTATCTCCAAACCTTCCTCCCAGCATCCTTGCTGATACTGCTGTGTAAACTTTCCATGTACTACTGACCTCTCGTTGCTTTTGGAATGTTTTTTCCCCGTAGTTGGCACCAGAAAACACTCTGATGTCGTTCCAGAAGGCCGTGGAGCAGAAGGTGTATGGAGTCCAAGCTGATGTTGTACTGAGGTGAGTCAGGGGGCTGGTTAATCTGAGACTGCCTGGGCATGGTCCAAGACCCTGGTGGGTCTTTCTTATCTGTTGTGTCTGGTGGTTTCTGCTTTTTCCCATTGGAAAGGGCTGTGGTGAACACATTTGTATTGCACAGATGCTCCTAATTGTTTCCTTCAGATGGTGGTGAAAGGTGAAGTTGTCCAGATGGGGGAACCTAGATCCCTTCGTCACAAAACTAATCTCCGTTTGCAGGAAGGCTGGAGTTTATCCTTGTTTTATTCCAGTGAAATACAGCACCTGCTTTCTAACCTGGCTCTTGGTGATCCCTCACTTTGTCTCAGTTCCAGTTATAAATGCAAGAAAGACTCGAAGCAGATATTTTATTTTTTTCCCTGATTTGCTTTGGAGGTTTGTGTTGATGGCAAGATGTTTTTGCCTGGTGGGGGGAAGTTTAACTGTTAATTGTTTTCTTTTTACTTTGCATAAATTTTTTGAGAGAAAATGATTAAAAAACTGAAGGACTTTCTTTCCATCAGGGACTAGAAGGTCACTGTGGAAGGATGAAGTCTGAATTAGGATGTATGTTATACAAGTCTTGTTCTTTCCGAAATTAGTTCAGTAACTGCTGGGAAGGGACAAGTACTCGAGTGCCCAGCTCACAGATGAGCACTTGGCTCATGTGGCTGAACCAGTTACTTTCATTACTCCCTGACCAAGGAGAAAGGTGGACTTTTGGGAGGAGGAGAGCTGGAAAAGCTCCAAGAGCTCTCCACTCTGCCTCTCCTCAGCCATCCCAGAGGAGCACTCCAAGCATCCTTTACTTGAACAATGCTCTTGATGGCCCAATTACCTGAGCCCTCTCTAGGGGCACAAGTGTCTTTAGGAGAAGAAGATTCCATTGAAAAAGTGAGCTGGCAGTGCCTCTGGGAGGGGTTTGTGGCACCACACCCAGTGCTGTCCTTGGGCCTCTGAAAGATGCTCTCTGTGCCTGTGGCCGGATGGGTCCCCCCAGCCAGGGAGATCCTTCCTGGAATGTTTCCATGCTCTTGTAGGCACATATGAGCCATGGGTGGGCACCTTGGACATACACTCAGAGCCATCCCATCCTGCTCCCTGCCCATCACACATCCCAAAGCAGTGGCCCTGGTTATAAAGCCAACATTGCTCCAGACAGCAGGAGCACGGAATCGCGGCTGTTCCTCTCTCTCTCTCCTCCCTCCTCCCACAGCTCTTCTTCTGAAGCTCCAGTTCCTGTGTCTGAATTATTGTTTCAAACCTGTGCCTGCCAATACCTTGTGGTTAACCTTGAGTGGTGCTGAGTGACTCTGTGGTGGGAAGGATTGGAAAGGAAGGAGCAAATGTTAATTGCCCCGTAGGTTGCCACACTGTGGTCAAGGCTTAGTGGTGTCTGATGAGGAGATGTTTAGACTCGAGCTCCTGTGACCCTTAAACACCCCACACTCTTCACTCTGCACTTGTTTAGCACCTTTTTTTTAACTGTATGTATTAAAATCCCTCCTGACTGCAGGAGCGTGGTGTGCTGACCGTGGGGTTGCTGTGTCAGCGTGTTGCTGTGGGCTGGGGGGAGTGTTGGCCCAGCACGTGCTGGAAACAGCAAATAAAGGTATCAGTGACCTCTGGGATAAGGGACTTCTGCAGGCACTGGTAAAGCTGAGGCAACATTTGCTCCATCATCTAAAACCGGGTTTCGTTTTCCCTATAGCTCTTGGGGGTGAGTACTCTGGGTCGTCTCTTAATTCAAGTGGGATTTGTATTTTCATCCCACCCCTCTTCCAAGCCTTGTCTGAGTCTCCTGTTCTCAGGATGTGCTCCTTGCTTTGGAAAATGTCGTTGTTATCAGGCTGGCTTAGTCCTGATTTCTGAGTGCAGACAACTCTCCCTCTGCCCTGATAGAAACCACCCCTGCCCTGCGTGGGGTCACCACTGACCTGGGCACAGAAAACTTGGGGGAAGAAAGCTGAAAGCGTTTTTTGTGTTTCCCAGAACCTTAGTTCTGTAATATCCAGGTGACTTTAAGAACCCAGGGCGTGCATTTGGCTGTTTAGTTTCATCTGAGAGCCGGTTTTTCTGCAAGATGCACGAACTTAACAACTCAAGTGGGTGTGGCTGTTTCCTGAAACCAGTTTTCAGTTGGAAAAGGCACTTTCAGAGCATTTTTGGTAATTTGGAATCCTTGCTTCTTGCTGAAAGCCTTAATGTTCACTTCTAGTCTAGGAGCCTTTGAAAATCTCACTCATCATCTGCTCTGAACAGTTTGAGGATGGTTTGTGTGTGTGTTTGTCTGTGCATCCAGGAAAACCTAAGGTGTTTTGGGGAGCTGCAGGTGCTGAGAAAGCTTTGGTTCACATGAGCAGTCAGGGTGGGTGGTCCTGTCCAAGCTGCCTGAGTTTGGCAGTCTGGAAATTTTGGGGGGGATAGTGGTGAGGTGAGAGGGAGGAATGGGTGAGGGGGTGGATAGGGTTGTGCCATGTATGAATGACTGCCAACATCCAGCAGGTATCTAAGAGACGTTTTCCTCAGGGTGCACCTCAGCTGCTCTTGAGGATGCTGGGGGTGGGGGTCGAGCTGGTTGAGACCTTCACAGTGGTTTTGATGTGAAGCCACGAGAGGGGCTGGAGTGGGAAGGGGCATTTCTCTCCTGCTGGGAGCATGGCTGGTGCACCTCCCCCTGTGACAGGGCCCCTTTGCCTTTGCAGCCACGATGGAGTCCCGTTCCTGATGCACGACAAGACACTCAGGAGAACCACGAACGTGGAGGAGGTGTTCCCGGAGCGGGCCCACGAGCACTCCTCCATGTTCAACTGGACTGACCTGGAAAAGCTCAATGCTGGGGAGTGGTTCCTTCAGGTGTGTACCACGGAGCCAGGGCAGGACAGCTCATGCCTAAGTCCCCTTGGAGGTGGGGATGACACATCTCCTTGGTGGCATGGGCTGAAGTGCAGCGAGACCAAGTGTCCACAAACCACATTTAGTTTGTCTCTACTAAACTTGGCCTAAAAGACATGTTGTCTTTCTGCCCCACCTGGAAGAAGGGGCCTTACTTAATGCCTGGTTGACACCAGAAAGAACTTCAAGACCCCCAGGAGAGTGAAGGTGATTATAAAGAGGGCAAAAAAGTGTTATAAGCTGTTCCTTTTTCTTGAATTTCCTTTTGGAGACAGTCATTTTCACAGAGGAAAAGTAAGGAATTCAGCCTGGGGGAGTCTGGACTTTGTGGCAGTGATGGTGGGATGTGCTTTGCTTTCAGAATGATCCTTTCTGGACAGTGGGGTCTCTCTCGAGGTCTGACTACTTGGAAGCTGCCAACCAGTCAGTCTGCAAGCTGCAGGACATGCTGGAGGTGATCAAGGACAACACCTCGCTCATCCTGAACTTCCAGGACCTGCCATCAGCTCACCCCTACTACAGCACTTACATCAACATCACCCTGGAAACCATCCTGGCATCGGGAATTCGGCAGCAGGCCGTGAGTTCTGGGGCGTTGGTGGTGTTTCCAAAACTGCCTTCCTTGTGGTTTCCACTGAGTCCTTGAGTGCCTCCATCTGGGCATCGATCCTTGATTGGATCAGGGCAGCTGATTGGAAATGCCACCCTGTGCCAGGATGTCACGCTGGGGAGGACTGGGATGGGCCTCTGAAAGGCTGCCAGAGTGGTGGCTGAGGCAGCAGGGAGGGGACTCGATAGCACCTCAGGGTGTGTTAATGGTGTTGTGGCTGAGAGATGGAGGGATGTGATAATTCCCAGCAATCACAGCATCCCAGACTGGTTTGGGTTGGAAGGGGCCTTAAAGATTATGTTGTTCCACCCCCTGCCATGGGCAGGGACACCTTCCACTAGTCCCAGGTTGCTCCAAGCCCCATCCAACCTAGCCTGGGACACTTCCAGGGATGTTGCAGCCACAGCTTCTCTGGGCAACCTATGCCAGGGCCTCCCCACCCTCACAGGGAAGAATCCCTTCCCAGTATCCCATCTAACCATCCAGAGGTGGGGGAGGCTGTGTTTCCCAGACAGTGTGTGTGACAGACAAGGCAGTCCCTCGTGTTCCAGCTTTGGGGACCCCTTGGCCATGGCCTGTTCTCTGTCCTGCTCCCTGCCAGGTGATGTGGCTGCCGGACACGGAGAGGCAGCTGGTCAGGCAGGTTGCCCCGGGGTTCCAGCAGACCTCTGGCCTCAAGCTGGACACGGAGCGCCTGAGGGAGAAGGGCATCGTGAAGCTCAACCTGCGCTACACCAAGGTGACGAGCGAGGATGTCAGGTACAGCCCTGCTGGGCCACTGCCCACGTGCATCCCCGTGCCCTGAGTGCATCCTTTCCCCATCATCCCCATCATCCCAGGCTGTCCTGTCTGCCCAGGGCTTGCTTTCCAGACGGACTTGCTCTCGAAAGCTCGAGCTGTGCAAGCTTTTCCCTGCTTGTGACCCAGAACCCACCCAGGCTGTTCCTGGGGGTGCCCAGCTGCCTGTGACACCTCTACATGCTAATTCAGTATATGTTGGTCCTCGTGGAAATACAAATGTATGAATTGGCTGATTCTTGTTACACTCTCAGCTCTGGGAGGAAGTGGAAGCTTTTCAGAACTCTAGTCCCTCGGAGTGCTGTTCCATCCTCATTAGCAGCCACCCTTTGCTTCCACTCCAGAGCTGCTCCCACAGACTTCTGATTAGCCCAAAGTCTGGAAACGTTTTTCTCTGCAGAGAATTCACCCATTTCATTCCTGTCCTGTATCAGCTCTTCATACTGATCAGCTCATCTCTTTAATGAGACTGGCACAGGGTGGGGTCCTCTGCTGTATTTGCACCTTGTGATGTTGTGGCTCCAGCTTTGGCCCCTTTCTCAGAGATGGCAGATTTGTTTCTAGTAGGGCTTTTCTGTTTTTTAAAGTTTAAATGCTTGAAAACTAAACAAGCTTGCAGAAGGAAAATATCTCTAAAAGGAGCTGCCTTGCCTTGTGTGTTTGAGCTAGAAGTAGGGAAGAGCTGAGCCAGTGGCTGTTTGAGAGCATGGCCCTACTTAACATAATCCATGGTGTCTTTCCTTGGCTGCCAGCTTTACCTGTGGGAAAATTGCTGCCTGCTTTTCCCCCTGTATATTTGCTCTATGCCATGGAGAGAACCCTATGCCAACCTCCCATCAATCCCACCCGAGCTGTGTCCCAGATCAGACCCCGAGTTGCTTCCTGAACCCTGAAAGTCAAACATTGCTGCAGTCCTGGTTGAACACAATGCTCTCAGTTCCTCCCCACTAAAACCAGCCCCTGGATGTCACATTGCTGCAACCACCTCTGCCCTTGAGCATCCCTCCAGAGCAGCTTTGAGCTGTGTCCACATCCTGTCGGTGGCCTTCCACCTCCAAGTGCTTTGCCAGTATTAAACGGCAGGGATTAATCTGTGCTGCCCGGGTGAGGGGGATTAGTGATGCTTCTTCCTCACAGATAAGGAAACAGGAGCAATTTATGCAAATCTGGGGCCCAGGGAGTCAGTGCCAGTGCCTGGTTTGCTGCTGGCAGCTCCTGGACCCCCAGCCTGCAGCTGAATCTTCTTGGAAAATGCCCCCCGGGGAACCTGGAAGCTGTGACTCTGCAACTGTCCCTGAAACAAGGGCGTGGAAGTCGTAGGAATTAATGGTGGAGACAGGTCTGTCAGTGTTTAATTAAGCAAATTGCCTGTGAATTGTCACGGGCCTCTGAGCCAGACGCTGATTTCACATCAATCTGACGAGGTGGTTGTTACAAATAAACTCCATGTCTGTCGTTCACGGGGAAGCTTTTGAGATGGTCTGTGGGCTGGGTCAGACGCCAGCCAAGGGGGAAGAAAGCTCTGGAGTTCAAACCTTTGGGCTGCAGCGCCCTTGGGTTGTTTAGGAGGTGTTAAACCCGCCCCAGAACTCTGTTAAAAATAAAAACAAAACACATTTCCTGCAGTTCCAAGCGACTCACTCTGTGATCACAGCTGTGGGGGTGGCAGGAGCCCTCCTCTGGGAGCCGAGGCTCTGAGGTTTGGGGAGGGTGTTGCATGTCACCCTGTGTGTGTCTCCTGGCAGGGACTACGCCATGGCCAACCTGAGTGTGAACCTGTACACGGTGAACGAGCCCTGGCTGTTCTCCATCCTCTGGTGTGCCGGGTCCCCTCGGTCACCTCCGACAGCTCCCACGTCCTCCGCAAGGTGCCTTTCCCCATCTGGCTCATGGTAAGGCTGGGAAGGGACCCCTGGAAGGGGGGAAATGCAGTGGAGAGGTGTTGCCCACCATAGGACTCGTGGGGTTTTCCAAGAGGGTTTGGTTGGGTTTAAGGTGCTGTTGGGTACAGCTGAGATGGGAGACTCGGAGCCCACGGAGCTCTGAGGCAATGTCAGCGCGCAAAAGGAGGGAGGGTTTAACGCTGTTCCTGTTGGCAGCTTTTCCTGATAACATCATTTTGGATGACATCCTGGCCTTGGGAAGGTCATAAACGCTGTGATTTACAAACCACCCCTGCAGCTCTGTGCTTTTCTTGCTCCTTGGTGGTAACTTCAGCCACGTGTGGTCTCTCTGTGGTTGCGCAAAGCGGAAGGTTTAAGGTCTGCTTCTGTTTCTTGTCTTCCAGCCTCCAGACGAGTACCACCTAATCTGGATCACGTCTGATCTCATTTCATTTATCATAATTGTAGGAGTTTTTATATTCCAGAAGTAAGTAGCCTTGTTACAGCTCATCTCCCGTGCGTTTGTGGCGTGTGTTTTTGTCCAGAGCCTGGGGTGGAGATGGGAGAGAGGCTCTGCTCCTCAACACTTGGACTGTAATAGCAGGGAAAGGTTTATTTAAAAATCCATATGGAGATAGAAACAATAATTCCACTCCCAAGATGTTGATACAGAATTGGAGGTAGTTGCTACCTTTTAGAAAGAAGGAGAGATCTCAAAATAGCGGCAGAGCTTTGCTCTTTAACACATGTGGGAGAGAAACTGTAAATGCTTCAGGAAAATGGATGTTGAGAAAGACATTAAGATGCTTTAAAGGAAAAAGAGTAGAGGGGTTTTGAGATTCCACCGTGATAGTCTTCAAAAAGAACATGTTATATTTTTCTTAAATCAGTTTGTTCTTGTTTGGAGGAACAAGAAATAGAAATATTATAGAATCACAGAATGGTTTGGGTTGGAAGATCATCTAGTTCCAGGCTCCCTGGGTAGGGAGTTATTATGGGAGACATTATGATAGAGCAGATCAGATCAGTTGCTTTGTTCAATGCACAGAGAAAGTTTATTTTCCAAAGAAAAGAGAGCAAGGATTTGGTGAGGGCGTGGCAGAACCTTTCCTCCAGAAGGGCACTGAGGCCTTGATGTCTGGAAGTGTCCTCCACTCCCTCAAATCCATCAGGTGGCTTTATGGGGATGTCCTGACCTTTAGCCCTTGTATTTCTCTGTTGGATACCCAAATGCACAAAGAGTCTGGAAGCAGGGACTGACCTCTCTGAAGAGCAGAATTTGAAGGCCAAGTCGATGAGATATTTGTGGTCTTTGGCCTCATCTCCCAGAGTCAGTTTTAGAAGGTTTACCTGACTCACAAGCCGGAGACCAGAGGTGGAGAAATTAAACTGATTCAACCTGCTGGGTGGGAACTAGAGGACCCAGAGCAGAGTGAGGTGATGCTTGGAGAGGGAGAAGTCACAACTATGTGGACTTTGCCATAGCTGGACTCTTCCTGTCTGCACGGATGGAAGCTCTTCCAGCTTGGAAAAGGTTTGATGGAGTAGGGGAAGAGGAAACAGGGCAAGGAAGGAAAGCATTATTGCAGGATTTCTCTTCCACCCTCAGTGTGATACAGGGGGGAAGAGCTGGAAATGCCACCAGCTCTCCCAGGATCCATCACCCTGGAGCAACGAGCTCTGGACCTGGCACAGGAGGGCAGTTACTCAGAGAGGTCTGGCCATGTGGGGGTTCATCATAGCAGGTCCAAGTGTCTTCTTTTGGATCTCTCCCTTGGCACAACTCAACCCCAAGTCGGTGGAAGGAAATAAGAGAGACCACTACCAGAAGTTGGACTTGCTCTTCCAAGAGCCTTGTGCAGGACAGACCCATTTCCCTGATGCTCCAGTTTCTCCACCACATGAAAGAATTTGTAGCGAGGCTGAGGATAAATCAACACCAAATCGCAGCAGAATTGCAGCTCGGGGAAACAGGGCTTGGCATTTGGCCTTCAGGGTCATGGCTGTTAGTGGGGGGTGTTTTTTGTTGGTCTGGTTTGGTTTTGTTGAGGTTTTTTTTCCCCTCAAGTCCTTTTTTGGGGCAAACCAGAGCTGCTCCCTTGCTGGCAAGGACGGGGGGTGGGTGGGAGCAGAGCCACCGCTTCGATGTGCTCGTCCTGTCTCCTCCGCATGGCTTCTCTCCTCCGTAGGGTAGGGATTGCTCCTGCTCCTCTGCTCCGGTGACAGGACTGTGCCAGCCTCTCCAGAGGGGGAATACCAACTGGGATGACCTCTAACTAACCTTTTTTTGCCTCTTTGCCTTGTTTATTTTCTTACTGCTCTGACTGTTGTGCATGTTCCTCCTCTTTCTCTCTCTGCTGCATTCTGGCATCTCACAGCTATCACATGATCAGGTAATTCTGGTGCTTTCCTCCTCCTTCTCTTTTTCATTCAACCTTCCTTTCTCTCTTTCTTTCTCCCTCTCTGCTATGGCTTCACTGCAGATGGACAGGGTAGGACGCAGCTTTTCCCGATGCTTTCAAACATCTGGCTTTGTGGGGGGGCACCATGAGGGTTCAAACACTGGGCACGAGCACCACAGGCATCTGATGTGCTGGAGCCAGAGGATGTTTTGAAGGCAACCTGGCCTTCTGTGACAATGGTCTAAGTCACTGCCTTTTAAAACAGCCCTGTTCTGAGGCCCTGTGGCACAGCTGTAAGTGGGGGATTCCCAGCGGATGTAATGCTTTCTCCATGGAAATAATGCCATGCAAAATAGCCCCTTCCTCACTGTATTTGCCAGAGGTTTTTGAGACCAACCTCTGCTAAATTGGCCAGTTCTCAAGAAAATCGTGTAACCTGTTCAGTGATGCAAACGAGTCCTTCCCTGGCCCTGGGAATGATTTAAAAGGGCTGAGAGCTGGAAAGGTTTGGCTGCACTCAGAGCTTGGGACCTTCCAGGAGTCTCTTCCCAGTTACACCGCCGTGGAACTGGAAAGGCAGTGTGAAAATAAAGAGCATTGCCCTTGGGAAGGGAATGAGCCTGGGATGCTGGATTTGAAGTGCCATCACTTGGGAGCCCAGTTTTCTCCTTTCCCTCCCCAGTCCTTCCCACCCCCTCGGAGGGAAGCGCTGTCGCTTTTCTGCAGTAAAGCCTTCCCTGTGTCCCTCCTCAGACCAAACTCTCCCCGTGCTCCCTCCCCCATTCCTCTTGCTGTGTGCCCCGGGGCCGGATTCCTGAGGACTTGGTTGCTCCCTGTCTGTGCTTACCAGCCCCCCTCCCTGTTGGCCACCAGCAAGTGGTGCCTGGGGTGTGGCATCGCCCCAAAACAGGGCCTGGCTGCAGGGAGCGGGGTGTTCTCCCCTTCTCCAGCTCCCCCTCCCTCCCTGGCTCATGGATCAGGAGAAGGCAGGCATGGAGGAGCTGGGCAGGCTTTAGGCACAGCGGTGGCAGGATGGGACTCCGGTTGTGGCTGGCTTGGCTCTGTGCTCGCTCCATCTTCTCGCCTCAGTACAGTGCCTGCCCCTCTCCCACCCTTTTCCCTGCCATTTTAGCATCTCTCCTCCCACCCAGGGCTCCAGCTGTGGCCCTAACACGGTGTGTGCTGTCTCTGTGTTGTTGTCCCAGTATTTTTTAGTCTGTTCCCACCCTGTGTCCGTCTGGTCTGCTCTGCCGCCAACCTCCCAGAACAGGACCTTCCTGCTGCCTCTCTGGCCCTTTTGCACGCTGCTGTCCCAAACCTGGCCGAGCACAACACAGCCCAAGGGGGTAGGAGAGGTGCTATTTTCTATTAAACCAGCTTTTTTGGAGACCCAGAGGCTGCTGAGCACAGCACAGACCGTTTGGTATGGTGTTGGTTGGAGTGGCATCGTGGTTAAATGTACTGGTGGCTCTTCTAAGAGGACGTTTCAAAGTACCCCTGAAAAATGGGGTTACCCTCTCCTGGCTTGTTTACCCAGGGCAAGGCACCTCCTGTGAGAGGAGGCATCACCTCCTCGTGCATGTTTTCCCACCCTGGGTGTGACCACAGCCACCATGGGAGATGGAGAGCAGAGAGCGGTGCTTGTTCCTCTTGGCAGGAGGAGAAACGCCCTTGGTCCCTGGAATCCTTTGAGTCTGGGCCCTCTGTGCCTCAAAATGAGCCATGCTCTCCATGGGGTGTCTGGGATGGGCATGAGATCCCCGTGCCTTTTGGCCACACAGCCCAGCCTGGTGCAGGAAACCCTGGTGTGTGGGCAGAGAAAAGACTCATTGTTGTAGTGGCTTTTGGTCCTGATTTATAGTTTAAGGAGAGTCTTATCCTGTGAGGTCTTGCAGCCACATTGACCTTAGTGTCCCATGCAGGCAGATCCTACTATGGCCCAAAATGCTCTTCTTCCAGGTCAGAGTGGCTCCGTTTAGATGATGATTATGGAAGAAAAATTTAATTTTTAAAATATTTTTTTAATATACTTTAATGTCGTTGCCTCTTTTGTGTTTCCTCTGTGTTTCCTCTGCGTCGCTTCTGTCCGTGGGTCTGTGAGTTGTGTTGTGTTGCCATCCCACCCGTCCTTCTCTCTGTAGCATCCTCCTTCATCCATACCCTGGTCAAAGCCTGCTGGTGCAGTGTCACCCACTGGGATTTGGGAAGGGGTTGGAAACGCCAAGGAATTGTCACCAGCTAGATTTTCCTGGGGAAAAAAAAAAAAAAAATTGCAGAAGCTCCTTTGTCGTTGTGGTGCAGACCCAGGCTGGAGTTTTGTGAGCTCCTCAAATCCTCTGCTCCTGGAGCTGGGTTAGAAATGTCAGAGAAGGTGGTTGGTACCTAGAAATAAGTAAATGAATCGCCTTCTCCTGTGGGGGTGAGCCACTAGATGGTGCCAGAAGATCAGAAAGCCCATAAGCCACCCTAAAGCCCTGCTGTTTCCCGATCAAACAGCTTTATGGGATGCCTGGCTCTGGCAGGGAGAATGGGATTTACCTGAAAGCCTCCCTCTGTGGTCGGGAGGCAGGAGGAATGGGTGTAGGGGCTGGGCTGCCAAAGCCTTGCCTGAGCAGCAGCCTGTGCCAGGGCTGGATAACCCTTCAGGGGAAGAAATATTTCCCAATATTCAATCTAAACCTCCCCTGACACAATTTGAGACCATTTCCTTGCTGTGTCTCAGTTTTGAGACTTTAAATTGCCTTAGGGCAATTTGAGTCCCTTCTCCCACAAGCCTGAGGGTGAGGAAAAGGTTCTGGATTCCTTACTTGGCTTGGTGTCTTGTTCTGTTCCCTCTTTCCAACCCTAGGAGTTAAACTGCCCCTACATCCTTCGGGCAGCTGGAGAGAGGGCTGTGGGGCAGCTGCAGCCCTTGGTGAGGTCAGTCCCTGGGTCTAATTCCCTGGTGGAATTGGGATGCCAAGGGTGGTTAATACGACCTGCCTGCGTGCCTGCCCCCCGAGATAACCACGCTCATCTCCCAACATCCTCCTGCCGCGTGGGGTTGTGCGGGTGCCAGGGAGCAAACGGCCTCGGGGTCTCTGGGACTTGATGCTGGCCACTTGCATTAAAATGCTCCCACACTTGTTGTGGGGAGGGGGACCAGCCCCTGACCTCCTGCTCCCGCCTTGCAGGTGGCGCCTGGGGAGCATCAGGACCTACAACCCGGAGCAGATCATGCTGAGCGCCGCCGTGCGCCGCTCCAGCCGCGACGTCAAGATCATGAAGGAGAAGCTGATCTTCTCAGGTAGGGCTGGGGCCCTGTGCCCCACCCCTCAGCTGAGGGAGGAGCTGCGAGTGCTTCAGGGGGGCAGGGGGGCTGGACTGACCCGGCCGACCGCACTGGTGGGACGTGGTCGTGGCTCGTCCGTGGCAGGGGGTTGGGACAAGATGATCTTTAAGGTCCTTCCCAACTCAAACCGTTCTGTGATTCATCCCAAGTCGGTTCAGGGATGATATCCCTGCTCTCTCTGCCCTTCCCAGAGATCAACAACGGCGTGGAGCCCACGGATGAGTTGTCCTTCTGCTCTGAGAATGGCTTTGCCAACGAGATCCTCACCCCCATGGACCCCCGGGACTCCAAGCTGCGGATGAACTGAGGGGCTCTGGGCCAGCCCCGCGTGCTCCCTGGCAGTGAGAGCCGTGCTCTTCTGCTCCCTGTGGGATGGGAACCCTGGAGGAACTGCTGGTCGGGCAGAGACCCCTTCCCACACCCCACCACTAACTGCTCCACCTCCCCTGGTTGTGAGGTTGGGGGGCTTATTTTTGTAAATATGTAGAAAATTTGAAATTTTTTTGTCTTTTTTTTTTTTTTTTTGAGTGTAATTTTTCCAGGGCATGAGTGGAAATACCGTGTTCATTAAACCCTCAACCTTATGGCTTGAAGGTATTGGAATCTTGATGTGAGAGCCTGAGTCCCCTCGGGGGGTTCTGGGAACATGATGGACGTGTGTCCCTGTTCTCCCCCTTGCCCTTCCCCAGCCCTTCCCTTGGTGCAGCGACTGTGTAGCTGAATGTTGTGATGTTCTTGTGAAGTGTTGATTTTGTTATGGGGTTTTTTTTCTGTTTCCCCCCTCGTTCCCCTTTTCCTGGGCAATTAAATTGTAGCTCTGATGCACCAGGAGGCTGTTTGGAGGAGAGAAGCTTTCCTGGGAGAGGAATCTTCCCTGCTGAAGCTCAGAGCCAGGGAAGGGGTTGCACTGGCTCAGTCACTTGGGCACCTTCTCCTTGTCCCATCCTCCTTCCCCAAAGCCTGGATGCTCCATGGGGAATGGCCTTTTTGAAAAGTCCTGCTGCAGTTTTGAAGGCAAATCCTGAGCATTTGGCCTCTGCTGGCAGCAGGTTGGATCTTTTTTTTTTCCCCTTCTTTCTTTCCTTCTTTCCATCTTCTCCCTGAGTTGGGCTCTGTTGGGAGCCTGGGTGGCTTGTGAAAAGCAATGCCAGGGGCACCATCACTGCTTGGATCTGGTTGAAGTGCCTGCCACTCCCAAGTGGCATTTGCAGTCGCTCCCTGCTTCCCATTCCTTACACCCTCATCACAGGGGGAGAGGTGGTGCAGTGTGAGCTTCCCCTTCTCTGGGCCAGGGAGGTGCCCATGGGTGAAGGAGCTGTAAATAGTTTGGAAGGTGAAGCAGCCCCAGACTATAATTGTTCCTGCAAGGAGACCTTTCCTCCTTGCTTCGAAGGCAGGATCCTTAAAGCTGCACGTTCGTGTCCTCCGAAGGAGTGATGGTCTTGCAGCAGACGCTGAGGGGCTCGTGAAGGCAGGAGCTCCCCCTCAGCGTGTCTCCAATGCAAAAGGCTTTAAACCAAAATCTTAGACCAGAGGTTAAAAGTTTAAAAAAAAAAAAAAAAAAAAAAAGAAAAGCTCAGAAACCAAGTTGGTGACAGTTGAATTTTATCCCTTCCCCGAGGCGGTCTCAGCTCTCTGCTGGGACCTTCAAGGCCTCGAGGAGAGGAGCCTGTTTTTGGGTCACTTGGCCGTTCCCAAGGAGCCGAAGCCAGCTGGAAGGCTGCTGGAGCTGGGAATGGCTCTTGGCTCAGTGTTGGGTCGTTCCCTTCCTCGCCGGATCTCGGTCGGCACCGCGTGCAACGTGAGAAACCCCCAGAGCGCGAGCTCCCTTCGGAGCTGCTGCGCTGATGGGGCCTCGCTGTTCCCATGGATCTGAAAACCTGGGAGCTGACTCTTCTGAGAGCTGGCCAAGCTGGGCTGTGCAGCACACAAGGAGCTGGTCACCTGGCAGAGGAGGAGGAGGAGGAGGTTTGGGGGTGCTGATGTGCATCACGTCCCACACCCAAAGCCAGGATGAAACCAGCCCGGAGCAGTTGGTCCTTGTTTTGGCAGCATGGAACTGCTCTGTCCTTGTGGGTTTTTTAAAGCTGTACTCCTGTAGCATTTTGAAACACTAAAGTTTTGGGCTTAGTGTGGAAGAATTGTGGGGCAGATGTGGCCAACTTTTCTATGGAAAGGAAAAATGCTGATAGTGGAAATGTGAATGTTGATGCTCTGATAAGCACGGCCTAAAATTAAGACTTTAATTCCTTTGCATCTGCCCTGGGTTTTATGAATGTAATAAGACTCTGGTCCATGCTCCCTCTTACCTCCCCCAAATACAGTCCTTCTCTATGGTACTCTCAAGTCTGTGAAATACAGTGTGGGGGTTTTGTTTCTGCAGAACTGCAAGCTTTTGGTGGGTTTGAAGGTATTTTGAGAACTAAGTTGCTTCTCCCTTTGATGTGGTGCTGTATTGAAACATTCCTGGTGGATTGTCATTGCCAAGTGAGAGATGTTAAATCTCAGCATCTGTCGATAATCACCTGCATGTTCTGTTTTTATCCTTGGAGATGACTTTATTGAGAGGTGAAGTGCTTAAAAGCTTGGAAGTGTTAAAAGCAATCCAACTAAGAGTTGTTTTCACAATTAGCTTCTTTCTTTCTTGTTTTTTTTTTTTTTTACAACAAGACCCAAACTTCCCGTGTAATGCACTGACTGTTACTGTTATTGTCCCAAATATTTGCTACCTTTTTTTTTTTTTTAAGAAAAAAAAAAAAAGGATGAAATTTTTTGATGAAAATAGAGCTAGACCAAAATAAACTCTGCGACGCTCTGTGAAATAAACTGTCAGTATTCCCCTGCCAGTCTGACGTGGTTTTGTGTTCTGGCATCGCTTGCAGTTGATCCTTCTTGATCTTCATGTGCTTTCTGAGAGAGCTGAAGGTGCGAGCAGAGGGAGGTTTGGAGCTCTGTCTGTCCTGAGACCAGTGTGCTTGTGCTGCATCTCCTCTTGGTGACACCCAAGCTGTGTGGTGTGGTTAACATGCCCGAAGGGTGGCATCACATCCAGAGGGAGGGACCTGGGCAAGTTCAGGGAGTTGGGCTCATGGGAACCTCAGGTGGGCAAGGTCTCACACCAGGGTCGGTTCAACCCCTGCTACCCATAAAGGCTGGTGGATGAAGGGATGGGGAGCAGCCCTGAGGAGGTCGTGGGAGTGCTGGTGGATGAGTAGCTGGACATGACCCAGCCCTGAAACCCCTCTGTGCCCTGGGCTGATCCCACAGCAGGGCAGGGGGGGATTCTGCCCCTCTGCCCCCTCAGGTGAGACCCCCCTGCAGAGCTGCTCCAGCCCTGGGAACAACAGCACAAGGACCTGGAGCTGCTGGAGAGAGTCCAGAGGAGGCACCAGAGCTGCTCCAAGGGCTGGAGCCCCTCTGCTCTGGAGCCAGGCTGGGAGAGCTGAGGGGGCTCACCTGGAGAAGAGAAGGCTCCAGGGAGACCTGAGAGCCCCTTCCAGGACCTAAAGGAGCTCCAGGAGAGCTGGAGACGGACTGGGGACAAAGGATGGAGGGACAGGACACAGGGAATGGCTTCCCACTGCCAGAGGGCAGGGTTAGATGGGATATTGGGAAGGAATTCCTCCCTGTGAGGGTGGGGAGGCCCTGGCACAGGTTGCCCAGAGAAGCTGTGGCTGCTCCATCCCTGGAGGTGTCCAAGGCCAGGTTGGAGCAACCTGGGATAGTGGGAGGTGTCCCTGCCCGTGCCAGGGGATGGAACAAGATGATCTTTAACGTCCCTTCCAACCCAAAGTCTGCTGTGATTCTCTGGCTCCCTCCCTCCAGGTTTGGGAAGACAGAAGCTGAGGAGCAGTGGTGTGGAGAGGAGGTGACTGTGCAAACCCGAGGCTGGAGCAGTAACTGTGGAATCATTTTTTTCCTAGCCCCAGGGGGACGATGATGCACCCACAGAAGTGATCAGACAGCAGTTTATTTTTAACACCCATTATGCAAGTCATTGCCCCAGGGTGCCTTGGAGGCCAAAACCCATAAGCAAGTTCAAAGAGGGATAAATGGCACTTATTAAACACAGGAGTCCCAGGTGCAAGACTCAGCTTGGGAAGTCCTCGAGCAGTTCTTTGCTAAATGCGTGATGTAAAGGGGAAGCCTTGCTTGGTGCTTGCTCTGCTTTGGGGGGTTTTTACCCCAGGATCTTCTCCCAGGGGGTGCCTTGGGTGAGGAGAAATCTTGTTCTTTGTTCAGTCTGTTGTTTTCTCCAGCCCCTGAATGGCTGCACTTAAGTGATAGTGAAAGGGATTAAAGTAAACACAGCCCTGTCTCCCTGGTTGGTGGTGGGTAGTCAGTCCTGTGCCATGAATTTAAGTGGCTTTGGGGATATAATTGAGTGTTCCATGTAAAAACTGCCCTAGGGAAAGGGGTAGAGCTCCTGATATCCACAGTGTTGAATAATCCCTGACTGGGGGCTGTCCCTGCTGTACCCTAGGGAAAGACAGGGGAAAGTAGAAAGGGAAGAAATGAGAGTCCTGTCTCATTTGTGTGTGTGCCACTCAAATAAAGGAGCTGAGGGCTGGTTGCTGGCCCAAAGCCCAAAGGCCTTGGGACAGCCAACATTGTACTATTTAACTCTTTTTTTTTTTTTTCCTCCCTCTCTAAAACTGCCCTCATAAATAGGAGCTTAGTGGTTCAGCCGGGGTGGTTCTTGTGGTGTCTGGGAACCTTTCCAGTCCTTCAAATTTGCCAGGCCTGGGGTCTGGGAGGGAGTGCTGATGTGGCCGTGGCCAGAGCTTACCCAGCTGCCACAGGAAGGATCTCCATAGCCTTCACGTGCTGGGGTAGTTGGGAGCTGTGGAAGTCCAGTGGGAGCAGGAAAAGCCCAGCCATGGTTGGGAGCAGCAGCAGCACGAGGCTGAAGGCTGGTGCCTCTTCTCCTGGACTCTTGGTGCAACAACCTCTTCCTGTTCCATGTGAGTATTGACCATATGTGAAATAGGAAGCCAAGATGGGGTGTTTTTTTCCCTCTTGAGCCTCTTGATTTTTTTCCTCTCTTCTTTCTGGATCCCATTTCTGTTCTAGTTATGTCTCTGCCCTTCTTCCTTTTCTTGTCTCTCACGCTTTGTCTCTTCTCCTGGAGGTTGGTGACTCCCTATCTGCTGAATGGCTGAGGGGGAAAGGAGGGTGTCCCGACTCTCTCCATGACCAGGTGGACTCCATGATCTTAGAGGGCTTTTCCCTTTGTCCCAGTGACCTGCTCCTGGTCATCTCCAGCTTCCTTCCACGTGCTCCATCCAGCCTGGTAGGGCCAACTCCATCAGGGTGGGAGATCCTGAGAGCAAACCCCACAACCCTCAGAGCCCTCTGTGCTGGCTGGGAAACCACAGTCCCTTCCCGGTTGCCAGGGATTCGTATGCAAATGCTGGGAGCAAGCACGATGCCAGCTTGTGCCCTGCATCCCAGCGGTGGGAGAGGGGCAGGAAGGATCCAGCCGGGAAACACGGAAAGGCAGTTTCACTGCGATGACAACACGCAGGGGATGGGTTTATTAATATTTCTCTTTTGTCTAGTGTAGAATAATACAGGTTGTTCAAAGCGATGCTGAGCAGGAGAGGGAAGGCTGGGCTGTGCCACCTTAGGGGTGTGACAATCTTCGGCACAAGGGGGACTCTGTGGAGCTCTTCCCGGGGCTGCTTTGTGATCTCTGCCATGAGCATTTAAAAATCCACCCAACTGGGATCGAGTTAGAGGGGAGGGTGTGAAAGCCACACGGGGCAAAGCTCCCCTTCTGTCCTCGCCATCCTCGGGGCCATAATTACCTAATTATGCCCCGTTAATGAGGGGGATGCAGCTCCTCCCTGACCCAGCCCGGTCCTGCTCCACGAGTCTTTCTGCTCCTCCTTTCAGCCGTATTTTATTTATGGGCTCCAGTGGCGTTTCCAGCAAGACAGAATCTCCATGAAATGAATCGTTCCACCTGGACCCTCAATTTGCTCTCCAGATGGCTCGGCCCTCCTAAGCTGCCCTGTGTGCCGTATTTTCCCTGAGCTGGGCTGGCTTTTCCCCGCGTCCCGGCTCCTCCCTGGCTGTCGCTGACAGCTGCACGGCTCATGCCCTGTAGCTCCCTGGCATGTCATTCAGGAGGAACAAAAGCGGATTTCTCCCCCACCTCTCCGCCAGGGAGGATAAAGGGGATGCTTTTGTGCTTTCCCCCATCCCAGCGTTTCTGCAGAGGGGCTGAGCTCTGCCGAGGGGACCCGTCTCCCTGCAGGGCTCCAACGTGGATGGGAGATCTCCGGGAGGGAAGTTGAGTCTGCACCGGGTCCCGCCTGGAGAGCACAACTTGTGTCAGGTAACGTTGGACTCTTTAACGCTGGGCGCTTTTTTGGCTTGCTAAAAGACTCCCCAAAGCAGCGTTTGCTGCTGCGTGGGAATTGGATGGAGAGGGTGACCCAGGGCAGAATGTGACCCAGGGGAGGGAGGGCAGCGGGGCAAACACACTCACTTTCTTTGGAGTTGGCAGCATTTGTGTCGTGGGTAGACAGGGAGGATGTGGATTGGGGAAGGGCATTTGGATTAACTGCGAGGGGAGAACGGAGTCTCTCCGTAAGGAGCTCAGCCTGAGCTGTCCCTTCCCCGTCCATGCTCCCGATGGCTTGGAAATGTGCGTGGATCAGGGAGAAAAGCGGGGATATACGTCGGGTTTTGTTTCTCGGCTGGGACCGCGTGTCAGCAGAACGCGGAGTGCGCCGAGCTCTTTGCAAAGGCACCTCCGGGGAGCCGCCTTTGGTGGAACTTCTTTAAATCCCTTTGAACTGATTAAATTGCGGTCCCGAGCACCCGTCGGGGTGTTTGGAGCCTTCACTCGGTCCCGGGGGGGGAGGGTTCTGAGATGTTTAGGTGGGGCTCGTCGTGCTGCTTCACTGCTCTTCAGGTCCCTGCAGCAACCTGGGGGCACCGGCAAAGGTGTTTTCCCACTTTTGGGGGGTTCTGAAGGGATACAGTGATGCTTTCTCGAGGTAGTGGGGTGAAGATCCTCAGGGCTAGGTTTGGTCGTCCCACGGTGCAAGTGCAGCCGGGAGGTGCCCTCTGGATGAGGGGACCTGAGCACTTCGGGGTCCCTGGTCAGCCGTGGCTGCCCAGGAGATGCAGGTGTAGGAGCAGAGCAAGGACTAAGGGCTAAGACAGGGGGTTTGACTCAAATTCAAGGTAATCCCCCTCCAGGGGTGTTCTCCCTGCCCTCCTGCAGGGAGGGTGTGGACACCACAAAGCCACCGATTTTCTGGCAACTTGTCACCCCAGGGGGCACTTGTGGTCCTGCCAGAGGCTTGTGGTGTGATCCTCCAGAGCCTGACTCAGGGGAGGAACGACTAAGAGCAGAGACTGAGCCCCCTCTAAACGGGCTCTTTGCTGTCACAGAGCCTCAGAAAAGCCTGGCTGGGGGAGAAGCTGTGAGCAGGAGCTCCACTCTGGCTCAGGGCTGGGTCCTTCCTGCTGCTTGTGCCATCGGTGTGAGCTGTGAACTGTTGGAGCTTGAATGAGAGCAGCCTGCTGTGCTTCATTGCAGTCACTTCATGAAGTCCTTTAGGAAATATTAAAAATCATTTGGAGCAGAAAGGGACATCAGGTGTAGCATCTCCACAGGTTTTAGGCAGGTCTTGTCATAGCTAACCTTTGGCAAATCTCAGAGTCACAGCCTTACCTCTGGATTTTTGCCTGCAATCTGGGGAAACAGGATGGGTCTGAAAAGTCGAAATCCAGCGTTGCTCCCAGCTGGGATGTGCTGTGGAGCACCTGAGAGGATGGGGAAATCAGTGAGAGCTGGGAGACATCCGAAAGAAAGGTGGTAGCACAGGCTGGGCAAGGCAACAGCCTTAGAAGGAACTTGCAAAAGCAGCAGTTTGCCTACAAGGATGGGGCTGGATTGGGAATATCCCAGTGCCCATTGCTGTGCTGTGGTTTGGAGGAAGTGTTGATTACTGAGGAGGAGTTGTGTGTGGGTGAGGGGGCAGGCTCTGACTAGATTTTGGCTGGATTCTGTAAGGAAGGTGCTGAACCACGATGTTGTTGAGTGTTGCAGGCAGATGTTTGAACAGTGTGCTGATCTCCTGTCCCTGCCCTGCTTCCCAAGCAGGATGCACCGAGCGATGAAGGAAGAATCCAGTTTCGGGACAGGCAGCCTGGAAAACGTGCCCCGGGAGCCAGGCAAGGACAAGCTGCCCACGAAGCTGTGCAGCGGGTCCTGCCACGCCGAGCAAATCCTGCAGACCCTCAACTCCTACCGGCACAGCGGCACCTTCACCGACGTGGTGCTGCTGATCGATGGGCAGGAATTCCCCTGCCACCGGGCCACCCTGTCAGCCAACAGCACCTACTTCAGGGCCATGTTTGGCGGCGACCTCAAGGAAGGCCACCAGGACATCATTAACATCCAGAAGATCTCTGCCTCCACCATGTCCCTCCTTCTGGATTATATGTACGGGGGGAACATCATCATCCAGGAGGACAACGTCGAGAGCATCCTGGAGCTGTCTGACCTGCTGCAGATCTCCAAGCTCAGGGATGCCTGTGTCACCTTCCTGGAGGGCCAGCTGCACCCGTGCAACTGCCTGGGCATCATGAAGTTTGCCGACTCCTTCTCCATCGCGTCCCTGACGGAGAAGAGCAGGAGGTTCATGCTGGAGTGTTTCGTGGAGGTGTCGTGCCACGAGGAGTTCCTGGAGATGGGGGCGAAGGAGCTGGTTGGGTACCTGTGTGACGAGCAGCTGGTGGTGCCCAAGGAGGAGGTGGTGTTCGAGGCCGTGATGCGCTGGGTGCGGCACGACGTGCCCGCCAGGAAGGGGGCCCTGAGGGAGCTCCTGGAGCACGTGCGCCTGCCCCTGCTCAGCCCCACCTACTTCCTGGAGAAGGTGGAGATGGATGGGCTCATCCAGGACTCCAAGGAGTGCATCCCCCTCCTGCACGAGGCCCGCAAGTGCTACATCCTGGGGAACGAGGTCAGCTCCCTGCGCTCCAGGCCCCGGAGGTAAAACAGCCCCAGTGTCCATGACCAGCATGGACCGAGCTGATGGATCTCATAGATTGATGGTTCTTGTACTTTGTGGTTCTTGGGTTGGTTTTTTCTTTTTTTTTTTTCCTTTTCCCCCCACCTGTTGCCTCACTTTTGGCCTCCTTGCTCCTGAAATGAAGCGTTGGAGTTGTTTGCCTGCCTTAAAGGATTCCTGTGGAATTTAATGCTTCTTGTTTTCATTGTGCTCTAATCACAGCAGTGTCCAATGATCCCATCCACGCAGGTGTCCAATGATCCCATCCACACAGATGTCCAATGATCCCATCCAGGGAGGTATCCAGACTAAGGGCAGGAAGGGGTGTTTTACCTCTTTATTTCCATCTGCTTCCCCCAAAGGGTAGAGCACTCAAAGGCATGGCTGCAGGGTCAGGAATTGGTATCCAGGGGGGAAAAAAGCAGTTAGTGCCCTGGTCCCCACCTAGGCATGCCCAAATTATTATGTTTTTTCTTTCCATTGATTTACTGATGAACAACCAGAAGGTAAAGAGATGCTGGTCCAGGCAGCTTTGGTCTGTAGGGAATTGTCTCAGCCTGCACAAAGCATGGAGGAGCTGAGGATTGGACCAAGCCTTTCAAATCCTCTTTCATCCTCCTCCTTCCTGTCCCCTCCCTTCTCGCAGAGAGGTTCTTTTCTCACCACCTCCTACTTGGCAGGATTTGCCTTCCCCTGCCGTCTGTCTCGTCTGCTCGCTGCTATTAGGGCTGGAAAGGGAGAGAGGTTTCCTGGAAGCACTTCTCTCTCCAGGCAGAAAGCTCACCCCAGGCAGGCTGCCAGGAGTGGCTTTCCACACTCCTGAGGATTATTGGGTTTGACTGTGCTGGAAGGGGGAGGGTGAGTGGCAGGAACCAATGTCACTATGGGCTTGTAGAGGTCATTCCCGTTTCCTTTCCCTGTGCACTTTGGAGCTTTTCCCACCCGAGCTGGGAGGTGCCTTTGACCTGATGGTGCAGGGGGTGAAATGATTTGCCCAGAAAATCAGTAGCTGAAGCAGGAGAGGACTCTGCCTTACCTAGGATGTCCTGAATAGGATGGGAGGGATGTTGGAAAGGAGTGGCCTGGCCCGGGACTCACCCGTGCCCTTCCTGGTGCAGGTTCATGGAGCTGGCAGAGGTCATCGTTGTCATCGGGGGCTGTGATAAGAAGGGCCTCCTGAAGCTGCCCTTCACAGACCTGTACCACCCCAAGAGCAGGCAGTGGACAGCCCTCTCCAGCGTGCCCGGATACACCAAGTCAGAGTTTGCTGCCTGCACGCTGAAGAACGACGTGTACATCTCAGGTGAGAGAGCCTGGAGCAGGTGGTCCCTTCCTGGGGACAAAGAACAGCACAAACTCTGCTTGGACAGTCACTCCTTAGGTCTGTTCACCAGGAATCCTTCACGTGTATCCCAGCTTTGGAGCAAAATCACTCCTCAGTGAAGGTTGAACATAGGTGGTTTGGATTTTTCTGTCCCAAGGAATAGTTTCACCTTTGAGGGGGAGGATGGCAGTGTTAAAAACCCTCTCCCTTCTGATGGGCATCTGTCAAGAGTGTCCAGCTGCAGCATGAGCTGCTTTTGGTGGGTGCTGTCAGAAGGGGTTTCTTAAAACATCGAAGTCCCTGCCCATCCCTCAGTTGAAATACAGTGACTGTCAGATGAGTGCTATAAGAGGGATGAAACAGTGTAACAGGGCCTTGAATTCCAGGCAGGATCTCCCTTGGGAAGCTGAGTTTACCTGACCACAACCCCATAACCATGTTCTGGCCGAAGCTGCTCCATTGCTTGGAGGAGCTGTGCAGTCCAGTGGTGCAGTGATGCTGAGGGGGCTGTCCTTGGGACCACACCAGCCCTCCATCCCTCTGTTTTCCAGGAGGACACATCAGCAGCAGTGATGTTTGGGTGCTGAGCTCCCAGCTGAACGTCTGGATCAAGGTGGCCTGTCTGCAGAAGGGCCGGTGGAGGCACAAGATGGCAACGCTCCAGGGCAAGGTGAGCCACTGCCTGCATTTTGGAAGGAGCCACGTGGAGCGCTGGCCCCACTTCTCCTGCTGCCCTGGACAATGAGGAACAGTCAATGTTTGTATGCAAGGTCATCATGAGGGTGGGGAGGCCCTGGCACAGGCTGCCCAGAGAAGCTGTGGCTGCCCCATCTCTGGGATTATCCAAGGCCAGGTTGGAGCAACCTGGGCTAGTGGAAGGTGTCCCTGCATGTGGCAGGGGGGACTGGATGGTCTTTATTATCCCTTTGAACCCAAGCCCTTCTGGCATTCTGCGACTCATTTAGAGATGGTTTTGATGGGAGGACAACTGGGACATAACCAAGATGTCATTGTTTCAGAAATAGCCCCAAATGAGGTTGTATCATTAAGATCCACCATGGGGATGGTGCCAGACCTCTGCAGGCAGCTGTGTTAATCACCTTTGGGTGAAAGTTTCTAATCCCCTCGCTGTGCTCCTTTTGTGGCAGATCTACGCCGTGGGGGGCTTTGATGGCTTCTACCGCCTCTCCAGCGTGGAGTGCTACGACACCTTCTCCAACAGCTGGTCCACCCTGGCGCCGCTGCCCCAGGCCGTGAGCTCGGCCGCCGTGGTCTCCTGCCTCAACAGGCTCTACGTGCTGGGAGGGGCTGTGGACGACACCTCCAACACTGACAAGGTATTGCTGGGCCATCGAGGATGGACAGACACTTGAAAAACGAGGTTTGACAGGGAACCTGGAGGGAAATGGGGCAAGGATGCTCTGTTTATAATAAGGTGAGAAGTCATGCACTGAGATAAGAAGCCAGTGAGACTTGGGGACCAGAGAGGGAAGGTGTCAGGAGGTGACAGTGTAGTAGATGGGCTTTCTGTTAGAGCCTGGTCAGCCCTGAGACATCACTGGAACAAACCTTCCACACCAGATCAGCAGCAACACGCTCCTCATGCCTGGCCGTGCATCTGCAAGGCAGACACGATGCTTCTGGTCTCCTGAGCAGCAGGAAGAGCTGTCAGTGCATCTTAACTCCATCTCCAAATGCTGTCTGGGTCAAGCACAGCCACCCTGGGGCTTGTAGTTTGTCTGGGACACTTGAGTGCAAGACGAGTGCCAGAACCCCTCATGCCTTTGCTCACCCCTCTGGGGGTTGGAGCTCCCACCCGTGTTTCTGTCCCCATGCACTTTTATTTCTAGGGAAGAGCAGCTCCCCCCAAGCAGGGAGATGTGGGGAATTCGTGTTCCCACAGCCGTGTTTCTCCTCCCAGGTCCAGTGTTACAATCCAGAGGATGACAAGTGGACGCTCTTGTCTCCCACCCCATTTTATCAGAGGTGCATCAGCGCTGTCTGCCTGGACAACATCATTTATGTTGTGGGTGGACTCCTCAGCAAAATCTTCAGCTACGATCCCAGGAAGGACAGCTGGAGAGAAGTGGCCGCCCTCCCTGGACCTCTGGTAAGGAAGAGCTTCAGGAAAGAAGCTCTGGGTCTTCTCTCTCTCTCTCTCGAATCGTGGCCATCTGTGCTTTGCTGGGGTTGAAGGCAAGGAAAACACATTGTGGGTTTGGCTCTGAGCACGTGGATGTGACCTGTGTCCTTACCATCACTGTCCACACTGCTTGGGGGATCTCTCCTGCAGCAAACCCAAGTTTTCTTGGGAAGCTGGGTCTGCACCATCTGTTAATGCCAGAGGAGTGGATCTCCAGGGAGAAACCATTGGTGCTGAGGACCGTTCTGCACATTATCTGCTTCAGTGGGAGGGTTATACTGCTCTGCTCTGGCCTGTGGGATATCTTGCTTTATTGCCATCACAGTTTTGCACTCACAGCCGTGCTGCAGTGTGAGCTGTGGCACAGGGAAGAGGAACGGTGGGACACAGCTTGTGATCTGAATTAAAATGCCAAGAAAGCACCTTTACAAGTGGCTTTCCCAGGGAGGCACGGCCTGGATCGCTGTGCCCTTGGTGTTCCTGAGGGACTGCCAGAGACAGCAACAGCCCCATCACTGGCTTGAGGCATTTCCAGTGCCTAAACTCTTACAGAAACAGTGAGATTGCAGCACCTCAAGAGCCAAACATCTGTTATGCTTCCTGCCAGGCAGGTCAGAGTTGGGCCCGTGGCAGCGACTCAACGCCCTGCTCAGCTGTCTGAAGCTGGAGGCCTGATTCTCAGCTTTCCTTGTGCTTTCCAGGAGAGCTGTGGCCTGACAGTGTGTGGAGGGAAGATCTACATCCTGGGTGGCCGGGACGAGAGCGGGGAGGGCACGGACAAGGCGTTCACGTTCGACCCGGTGACGGGGCTGGTGGAGCCGCAGCCGCCGCTGCAGCGCTGCACCAGCTACCACGGCTGTGTGACCATCCTGCAGCGCAGGGACAGGTGACCACAGGGCTCCCCTGCACCCAGAGCCTCCCCTGGAGCCACCCAGCACGTGGGAACACCAGCCACTGCAGAGCAGGTGCTCCACCAGCCCCTGAGTGGCCTCGGGTTTGTTTTTCCCGGCCTCGCGATGGTGCCGATGGATTTGATGCTGATCCAGGTGAGAGGATGGAATGGTCCTGGGCTGTGTGAAGCTGCATCACAGACCTTGCCACTGCAGCCCCTGGGACTGCTGAATTTGACCTTTGCTTAGGTTTTCCTGGCTGTAGATGAAAGTCTTCTGCTGTGCTTGCAGCAGAGGTTTGCTGTCCTGGAAGGACGTGTGTTTGCTGCTCTCTGATGCCCAGAACTGTTGCTGTAACAGCTGCAGCTCCAGGATCCAATCCTTTGGCTAAAAGCTGTCAGGTATTTGTGCATTTACTACAGAACCCTGTGCCAAACCCCAGTGGGGACCTAAATGCTCATTAACATCCATGAACAGAGAGCTGGGATTGGGAGTTCAAAGTTGATAATCCCAAGAAAATCACTCCACTAAATCCCAAATAGTTCCAGCTCTGACTCTGCACAGGCTGTGTGAGGGTCTGTGCCCCCAAAGCACAGAGTGCTCTCTCTTGTCATACATGTTTTGTGGTTGGACTGCTGTGTCTCTGTCACTGAGTGGACAAGTGAATCCTGCAGCCAAGAGTTCCTTCAGAGAGGAAAAGGAGGAGGAATATTAAGGTATAGGAATTAAGCATGAAGACCTGAAGCATGGTAGCCACAGAACTGTCTCATTTTGGCTGTGGAGTATGTAGCAAACATTAAAATAAACTCCACATTTAACAGACTGGGGTCCCTGGGAGCCTGAATGTGCAGCTCACTTGGAGGATGTTTGATTACACAGGCCTGCATTGCTCCAAGCTGCCCTCAGGTCTAGAAATGACCCTGAGCACGTTTGATTTGGTAGGATAACCATAGTTTTTGGTGTTGGTGTCTTTAGTCCGTGCCTGGAACTGGTAATTTCTGGTGGCTCCACGTAAATGCTCACGTTGTTCAGTTAGAGGTTGAATTGCTGCCAGATGTAGAGTGAGGGCTCTTAAAAACTCCCGTACCTTGGACACTGTGGGGTGCACCCCTCCACAGCAGGCTGCTGGCTGGCTGCTGTGCTCTCTGCACCTTCCTTTCCTCACCCCAATTCTTCCTGAAGCAGAGGAGATGTCTGTGTCCACTGGTCCAGCTATTCCTCTTTGCCTGTCCCAAACCCGCTGGCTCTGCCTGAATCCCTCTGTGTTCACCACTAAACCAAGTCCTCAGGGTCACACCCACATGCTTTTTGACTCCACCACTTCCCTGGGGACCCCTCACAATGCTTCAAAACTCTTTCCATGACATTTTTTTTCCCCTAATATCTGATCTAAACCTCCCCTGGCACAACTTGAGGCTACTTCCTCGAGGATTTCCTCGAAGGAGATTCCACGCTGGTATAGGTTATTCCCACGAGGAGAGAAAAGGAAATTCTTGCTGGTAAAAGACAATTTTATTTGCAATCAAATTGCATCCACATTTGAGTCTTTAATGGGAATGGAGATTCCAAGAGGATGAGCCTGCCCAGAGCAGGCACTGAGCAAAGCCTGATCTGCTGAGGAGGTTGAGCGTTGTGGGCAATCCCTTAGAAAAAAGGGATGGTCCTCATGCCAAAGGTAAGCCCGAGGAATGTGGAACAGGGCTGGGAACACAGATGATCTTGCTTGGCTGCTGGTGGTTCTTTGTGCTCTTGAGCACAGTAATATATTTGGACAGAGCAATAGCCTTGAAAGTAAAAAGGAAGAGTTTTCCAGTTGCATTTTCAACTTCTCTCTCCACAGTCTTCCCTGATTTTCCTAATGCCTCCTGGGAGTGTCTTGCTGTACTTTCCCCCTTATTCCTGGAGGAGTGAGCACACTCCAAAGGGTGGCAGATGTCCCTGTCAGCTTTCCCACGTGCTTTTGCCACGTGTGATGTGCTGCAGTTGGTGGGACACGGTGCTGGAAGTTGCGGCACAGACACTGCAATGTTTGCCTCGCTCTTGGTCCTGCTATTTATTGTACCCCTGAATTGTGCTTGTGTTTTGTGGGGGCTGTGGGTGTGCAGGGGAGGGGGAGGGAAGGAATTCAACTTGCTTTTATTTAGAAATAAATATTCACCTTGGCTCCCAGCTGCTTTTTGCTGCGGGGATTTCATTTGTGCCTATGGCATTCCAGAAATATATTGTTGATGGAGCATCACAGGAGCTTTGGGAACACCGTCCTTGAGGTGTCCCAGCCTTTGTCTGGGATACCTAAATCCTCCCTGTGAGCAAGTAGAAAGTTCAAGGCACTGCTGTTTGTCTGCAGGGACTGATATCTGTAACTGTTACCTGGAATCATGGCCAAGTCAGTGTAGGGGAGGTGTTTGGATAATTCAAACTCTGCTAAGGATGGGGAAAATCTGACTTGTGTTTTGGTTTGATGGAAAGAGAAACTGAAAAACTGCTTGCCTTGGCTGTTTCTTGCTCTCCCTTGTTGTGGCAGAAGGACACAGAGCACGAAACTGCCCGTCACCACCACGTGCTTCACATCCCGAGAGGGCTTCCCTCGGCCCACAAGGGAAGCACCTCCTGGCTGTGTTCCCAGTAATGCCCAGACCTGCTGTGGGAGCTCTGCATGGCAAAAGATGTAGAAGGAAGTAGTGATCACCTGCAAAGCATGTGCAGTAGGTTCAGCTTTAGGTGTTTAAGCTTTGAGGAGCAAAATAAATGATTTTTTAATTTGCACTCCGAAGCAGCAACTGTCGATCACTTCCAGTGGTACCCAAACCATCCCTTCCTCCCCCAGCCCTGTGGTTTTCCTGCTGCCTGTCTCAGCAGCTGGGTTATTTTGGGCATGTTTGTGTTATGGATGGGAGCCAGGGGGAAGAAGAAAAAGCTCTTTGTGAACAAATCACACGGGTGGTGTAGGCAGCAAGATCTTCAGGGCCTGATAAGATTTGTCCATGACACAAAACCCAGAAGAATTATAAGTAACCTGGCAGACAGGGCTGCTGCGGGAAGCAAGTGGAACTGCTTGTAGTAAACAAGGGGAAAATGGCCTTTTTCATCCTTTCCCATGAAAGCTTTCACCCCTCAGAAAGTCCACTGTACCCCTCAAAGACAAAAACTGGGGCCTCCTCCACAGTCAGTAGGGAAAAGGGACCCCACTAAAGAGTGAGCCATGGAATCCAAGAATGGCTTGGGTTGGGAAAGGACCTTAAAACCCATCCAGTGCCACCCCCTGCCATGGGCAGGGACACCTTCCACTAGCCCAGGTTTCTCAAGCCTGGCCTTGAACACTTCCAGGGATCCAGGGGCAGCCACAGCTTCTCTGGGCAACCTGTGCCAGGGCTGCTCCACCCTCACAGCCAAGGATTCCTTCCCAATATCCCATCCAACCCTGCCCTCTGGCAGTGGGAAGCCATTCCCCCTTGTCCTATCCCTTTTATGCCTTTGTAAACATCCCCATGCTCCATCCCCTGGAGATGTGGGAGCTCCTTTGCCCTGGGCTGCCCAGCTGGCAGGAGATGATATCACCGTGGGGCAGGAGGGCAGGGCTGCAAGTCCCAGCTGAAAGGATGAGCTAGAGCTGATTAATTCAGATTAAGGGCCATAATAGCCAGCTGGGAACTGGTGGGCAGAGATAAAAGCAGTTTCACTGGTTGTCCCTCTAGGTTTAAATATTCCCAGGAGAAGGGAGGGAGGGAACTGTGTCAGATTTATTGCGAGGTTGATGTTTGCAAGATTTATTTCCTATTAAATTCAAATCATGGTTGGGCCAGCAGGGACCTTGAGATCCAGTCCTTGGCTTGAACACTGGTTATTGTTGGTCTGAGTGGGGTCTAACACTGCTCATTGACAATCTGAGGGGGTCTAACACTGGTTACTGGTGATCTGAGTGGGGTCTAACAGTGGTCACTGACAATCTGAGGGGGTCCAACACTGGTCACTGACAGTCTGAGGGAGTCTCCCATTAATGCCAGCAGAAAGGGGACTCTGAGGCAGGGCTGGGCCGTGGCCAGCAGCCTTTGTGCTCCCTGCTCTGGGGACAGAGCCTGTTTCCAGTGCTCCTCCGAGCCCCCCCAAAGAGACTGACAGCCCCTGTGTGCAGGACCCGCAGCAGCACAAAACAGGGGATCCTGCCCACCCAAACTGCTCGGGCAGCTCCGTCCTCCACGTGGAAAAGGGACGATCAAAGAGCGGAAAAAAAGCCCAGAGCGGATGCCAAAAGCAAGAGCTGGATGTAAAGGCTGAAGAGGAGGGGAAAATCCAGGATGTGGAGCTAAGCAGAGGGGATTCTTCGTGGTAAAGCATAATAAAGTTATATAAAAGCTAACCTGTGGTTGCCTCAGTGTTTAATTAGGTCTCCCCATCTCAGCACATGCTGGAATATGCTTTGCTCCTTTTAATACTCCTGTGGGACAGGGGAATGGCCCAGGCAGGGGAGGCACTGGAAGCACGAGAAATACATGAAGACCCAGCTCTGAAAAGTATTTCTCCAGTCACTGTGGCTAGAGAAAGGCCATGGTGACTTCTCCAAGCACTCAGGTAGGAGCAGAGGTGGAGTCAAGTCTCCCCATCTGACTTAAAGTACTTTACAAAGCTACAAGTGGTCAAACTCTGTGGTCAGTAAGGAGCTCTGGTTCACCTGCTGGTGATTGACACTTTTCTCTGCCTTCACTGAATGTAGAAGTGTGAATAACCTCTTCTTGGTAGTTTTTACCCATTAAATATATACCTTTAGAGTCAAATGTCACCAAAAACAACAGCAAAAAAATTCCATTTTCTTCTCACCCTTATCATCAATGACCAAAAGAAAAAAAAAGCGTATATTTTTATTAAATATTTCTTAAATCTCTCCACAGTTTTTAAAATGTCCTAGTTATGTTTGCCCCCCTGATGGCTGAACTCAGTTGAGGTGACTTATAGAATGATTTAGGTTGGGAAAGCCCTGTAAGACCATCCAGTCCAACCATCCCCAGCACTGCCAAGGCCACAATGAGCCACTGTCCCCAAGTGCCACACCTACAGGGCTGTTAAACCCTTCCAGGGATGGGGACTCCCCCACTCCCATGGCAGCTGTGGCAGGGCTGGACAGTCCTTTCCACTGCCCCTGTAACCTCTTGGTGCTCCCTTTTTGGTGGGCTTTGCTCAGCTTTCATGCCATGAGGGTGGTATGGCCCCTCCAAAGCAGCAAACCTCCCTCTCCCACTGACCCTGAGGGGGATGTGGGTGCCCAGAGCCCCAAGGAGCTGCTGTTCTGCTTTGTTTGCTCCAGGTTGCCCAGCAAGCCGGTGGCAGAACATGGATTTCAATGTACATCTCCCATGGTCTGTGCCAGGGCTTTTCAGCCTCAATTCCTTCACTTCCTGCAGTCTGCTCCTGGCATGCAAACATTCCTGGGTACAATTCCCTGCTTTGTCTGCGGTGCCTTGGCCAAAGGGAATGGAAATGGGCTTTGCATGACTCCAATGCACAAGCACCCACCGGCTGGGGGAGCTGGAAAAGGCACCACTGGGCAGGCAAAGACGTTTTAGGCTTACAAAGAGAAGTAGGACAGTGGTGTGAATGTGAGAGTAAATGTGGTCGTTTCCACAATGCACAAACTAAAGGTCATTTAACTCCATAACCAGGGGGGAAGCTGCAAACACGTTGAAGTGGATATTCCCCTTCATGTCATTAAGGAATATCAAAAATGTCAATTCGTGGGCTCAGGAAAGCCAAAGATACAAACCTCCCGTGCCCAAAGGGGTTCCAGGAGAGCTGGAGAGGGACTTGAGACAAGGGATGGAGGGACAGGACACAGGGAATGGCTTCCCACTGCCAGAGGGCAGGGTTGGATGGGATATTGAGAAGGAATTCTTGGCTGTGAGGGTGGGGAGGCCCTGGCACAGGTTGCCCAGAGAAGCTGTGGAAGTGTCCAAGTGCCCTGGAAGTGTCCAAGACTAGGTTGGAGCAACCTGGGCTAGTGGAAGGTCTCCCTGCCCGTGGCAGGGGTGGAACTGGACGGTTTTTAAGGTTACTTCCAACCCAAACCATCCCATGATTCTATAACTTACCTGCACCTTTTGTTGGTCCTGAAATACTGGATTGGAAGGGTGTTTAACTTGAGCCCAAGTAGCTGGTTTTGGGGTCTAAAAGGCAGGGTTTGCCAAAGGCTCACAAAACACCTGCTCCAACCTGGAGGACCCAAGAGCAAGCTCTGTTTCAGCTGCTGAGCAGCACCAGCCTTCACGTGAACTACTCCAATGTCCTCCTGTTGGGCTGAGCTCAATTTGCCTCCCAGAGATGCTTCGGCCTGGAGCAGCTTCTCTGGCAGAGATGAAGGGATGTGGGGGCTCCACAGAGATCCAAACCAGCTGTCCCCACTGTGCCCCTCGCCAAGATTAAGTGAGTGGAGTGATCCTGATTATGGACCTTTTATTTGAAGGCAGGGTAAACAACAGAGATTTATTCAGGTCAGGGGAATACTGAGCAGCTGATCACATGCTAAATATTTATGTCCAGCTGGGGGATTCCTCAGAATGATATTTTTTTTCCCCCCCATCTGTAACAAATCTGGCAGCAGACGCTCTCCAGAGCTCATTAATGGAGTGGGAACTGTGTCCATAAATCCAGGCATCGGGACTCGCTTGGGCAGAGCACGGGGCTGGATTTGCTTTGGCTGCAGAGGAGATTTCTGACAGTGACTCAGAAGCTTTCTCCAGCTTTCATCTGCTGAGACTTTGTCCCTTGCTTCCCTGGCTGGTGACAATTTGCTTTCTAACCATGGGCCAGAGGGGAGAGCTGCTGCTTTTGATTGCAAAGTCGATACAACAGATGATAAAAAGGCTCAGAGCACTCCTCTCTTTCCCTGTTCCCTGCTCCTGATGCAGTAATTCCTGTTTCCCCCAGGAATGTGCCCTCCTCCAGCCTGGGGTGGCAGTGGTTTCCTAGAGGAACCCTGCTGGTGCCTTGTCATCCTTCTCAGGCGCAGATGGGAATGTGGTAAGCACAAAGAGGACTCAGCCCATCTGCTGGGGCACTGGCAGAGGCCAGAGGATGCTTTTGCCTCAGCAGAGGTGCGTGTGGAAGAGAACTGCTGGAAGGCTTTGCCCACAGGGGTTGTGCAAGCTCCATCCTTGCAGGTGTCCAAGCCACAACTGGGTAAATCCCTGAGCTGATGCTGAACGGCCCCTGCTGCGAGCAGGAGGTTGCACCCAGAGCCTTCCTGAGGGCCCTTCCAGCCTGCATTCACTGGGATCTACGGGACAGCCCTTGGAATTTGTCAGGACAGGCTGATAAACAACAGAGAGAGCATTTTTCCCTGCCCCAGGTGAGGTAAATCTCCTGGAGGCTGAAATACCCCCAAACCCACACGGATCTTCATGCTGGCATTCTGATTTTTCAGCCTTTATTCTGCCCTTATCAGTCCCTCTGGCTCAACACCTTCCATACCAAGGCAGAGGCAGGTTTTTTCTCATTTGAAAGGGATTTCTTCTCTCAGAGGGTCAACCTCACCCCCTCAGCAGCCATCCTGTACCTCCCCCTATAATTGCCGAGATATTACAGGGAAATGTTGCCTCCATGAAGGCCAGTGGGGTCAGAATGGAAATGGGGGAATCTCAGCATGAAATTTGTTTGTCCTCCAGCTGACACACATGGAAAGTGTCAGAGCTGGTGACGGATGGGCTGAGCTTTGCCCAGCCTTGTACAGCCAGAGGGGACAGCCCTTTGTGTGCAGAGCAGCCCCCAAAACCCAGCCCTACAAAAACGCACCTGCAGGTAAAATGAGGATTTCCCACGCGTGCAGAAGAGAAGGAATAAGAAACATTAACTTTCTGCACTGTTGTTAAATAAATTTAACCAATTTATTCCAGGAAAAATGAGGGGAAAAAAAATGTGAGTAATGAGATGGGAATGGAGCTGCCCCACGGGGAATTCATGTGAACAGACCCAGTTTGCCTTCTTCTGCCCCCATAAAGGAAACATCCTTCTTATGCCCAAATCATCATGGGAAAAACCCAGGAGAGAGCACTGGTTTGTTTGTGTTTCCCTCTCTCTGAGCAATTATTGTCAGTCGGGTAAGTCAAGTAACGAGCTTTCCATCTGAGGGGTTCTCAGTGCATTATTCCACTCGGGAATCAGTGCAGGGTGTGTCCATGCCTAGAAATACATGGAGATTTCGCTGTTGTTTGATGATTTGACCTATGTTTTTATTGGTCAAGGCCAATAAAAGGACATTAAAAATTGTGACGTTTTCATGAGAGAGTTTTTCAGGAAGATGGAAATATTTGGCTGCGTTGCCCATGTAATAATAACGATAATATTAATAATTAAATCCAAACTAATTTTGGTTAAGATTCTGCAAACACTACTTCCTAAACTACTACTACTATGCCTAAAGGTGTGTCATTCCCTCAGTGCTTTTTTTCCCTGGCAAACAATCACCATAAAATACGTGTAAAGAGCAACCCAGGGCTCAGTTTGCTTGTGGGGGTGAATGACGTGTTTATTGGTGGAAGACGCCCGAGGATGAAGAGGACCTTCTGCAGGCGGTGAAGCAAGGCCAGCAGGCCAGAATTCGGGGTATTTGCAGGGCACACGTGCCCTCTCTGATGGTCGATGCTCGGGAGCCGCTGCGCTGCTCCAGTCGCTGCTCGTGGGACCAAGGGTGTCATTCCCAGCCCTATTTCCTGGGCAGAAGCGCCATCTGCTGCAAGACCAACACTTCTCCGTCCCAAAAACTCCATAACCCCCAACTAATTTGGAAAAACAGGGGAAAGAGCAGGTGTTTCCCATCTGCTGGAGGAGATGAGGGCTCAGCCCACAGATAGGAGACACCTATGCAAAATAACTTTCGCTTGTAGGGCAGGTTGTGTTCCTCTCCCTCTCGGGGTGCTCAGACCCCCTTTCCAGTGCACACAGAGCTCCCAGGATGGTGACACCTGCTTGCTTTAGGATGAACAAGACAACAGGTCTGTCAAAGTGGCTGTGAATGCTAAACTTCCACTGTTGTCAAATAACAGTGGGCGTTTTTTTGGTGACGAAACAACCTATGTGGTTGGAAATTGCCTGTCTGGCTGGGGTGGGAATGGCTTCCTGGGAATGCAGGCGAAATCCAGCAGTGCAGCTCAAAGACTGGTCCCATCTCTGACTTGCAGGAGGTCTGGAGAGAAAGGAAAAGTGGGGGAAAGTTCTAATTCACACTCCTGCTCAGAGGGGAAACTGAGACACAAAGCCATGGGAGAATTTTGTCCAATTCTCCAAAATCGCCAAAGCACCCACTTTTCTCAGCACCCTCGTCTGCCACACA